TCTGGGAGCAGTAAACAGATGTTTGCACCCTATACCATTTAACCAGGTAGTGACTGCATCTGCAGCAAAATGAGAGCCGTTATCAGTCACTAACATCATTGGAACCCCTTCTCGACTAAACACCTTTCTCAATGCTTGAATTGTGAAGTCAGAATTTGGTGAAGTTGTGAAAAAAACTTCAGGCCACTTTGAAAAAGAATCAATAACTACAAGCGCATAGTATTTGCCAAGAAACGGACCACAATAGTCTGCATGAATTCTCTGCCAGGCCTCAGACGATACTGGCCATGGAGTCCACCTCGAATGCTGATTTTTCAGCTTATGACACTTTTCACAATTGTTTGCTGTATGACAAATATCTGCATTTATCTCTGGCCACCAACATGTGAGCCTCGCCAATGACTTCATTTTTTCAACACCTAAATGTCCACTATGAAGATCTTCTAGGACAGATTTACGCAATGAAGGAGGAATAACAACACGATCATTTAAACACAAAATACCATCAAGAGTAGTAGATAGCTCATCCCGCTTTGAAAAATAGATGGGAAATCTACGTTTCAAATTAGCATTCCAACCTTTCCGTATAGCATTAGTTATACATCCAAAGTATTTACGAGTTTCTCTAATGAGATCTGGACGTCTCACTGGTAAAGGTTGCACTAACAAACAGTCTGAAGTATTTACAGGTTTATCTTGTAATGACTGTCGAGAAATGTAGTCAACATGTTGAATTTGTTTGGCACTCCTGTGCTGAACCGTATAGTCATAGGCACTCAAAGCAATACTCCATCGTTGAACCATAGCAGCTGAGGAACGTGCTAAGGATTTTTCAGGATGATAAATAAACTTTAAAGCCTCATGATCAGTAACAATAGTGAATTTCTTTCCAAATAAATATTTATGACGTCTTTTAACAGCCCAAAACACAGCTAATGCTTCTCGCTGAGTCTGTGAATAACCTTGTTCAGTAACAGTAAGTTTGAGTGAAACACAAATAACTGGTCTACCCTCTTGTTCCAAAACTGCGCCAATACCCACAGGTGATGCATCAGTGATAAGTACAGACTGTACACTAGGGGAGTAAGTTCGAAGAACGGCATCACTTTGAAGAAACTTTAGTAGACTATGTAAGCATGACTCTTGTTCCTCACTCCATTTAAATGAATTGGATGTCAAAATATTAAATAAACAATTTCCACGACAAGAAAAATTAGGAATAAAACGGGAATAGTATTGAAGAGCACCCACTAGTGAACGTAGTTCCGTAAGATTTTTTGGAGACGGTGCATTTGTCAGTGGAGCTAGTCGTTTCATATCTGGTCTAAAACCATTACCATCAACTAGGTATCCAAGACATTCGAAATTAGATACACAAAATGAACACTTATTTCGATTCACTGTAATATTCTTCTCAATTAAACGACGCAATAAAGCAATAAGTCTCTGGTTATGAACTACCTTATCAGAACCATGGACAATGAGATAATCTTGATAAACTTCAACGCCCTCAAGATCACTAACCACCTTATCCATAACTTCCTGAAATATGGCTGGAGAATAACTTAGACCAAATGGAAGGAAATTATATTTGAACAGACCAAAAGGAGTGTTAATTGTCGTCAAAATAGATGAGGATTGATCTAAAGGGATTTGAAGATAAGCATCTTTTAGGTCAACTCTCGAGAACACTTTAGAACCATGAATAATTTCAGCCTCTACCGTCGTGCATGTTTGCTTCAACAAATGGGAGTTCAGTGTTAATCTATAGTCACCACATATTCTAGGGGTTTTGCCATCCGACTTCAGTGGCGTAACAATAGGAGTACCCCATGCTGAGGACTGGATCAGTTCAATTATGCCTTTCGCACACAAATCGTTTAATGTTTTATGTACTGCCTCTCGAAGACCATAAGGAATTATTCGTCTTTTAAGAAAGACTGGACCACCCTGTACTTGAAGTTCTATAGGCTGAATCTTCATACCTCCACTGCACTTAGCACACGTGGCTATCAAATCTTTGAGTAAAGCATCATTATTTTCTTTAGAAACTAGGAAAGACAGCTCCACTTTAAGCCTTTTCAAATTCCTTAAGCCCAGTATTGACAGTCCTGTTTCGCTAACTAAAAATTCACAAGGTATGTATGAAGAATTATCATCTCTTATTAGCAACTCACAACATCCTCGTATAGGCAGTCTTTGTCCAGTAATCCCCAATATTGATACCTCAGTGGGTCGTACCACAACATTAGGATCTAAAGATTTCAAGTTCTTGAATGAAATAATGGACTCTATGCTGCCTGCGTCCACAATAAAGTCATGATATGAACCATGAGATGTATATAATCGCTTTAGAATATGAGTATTACCTTTCGAAATGGTAAACAAAGATAAATGATCATTAGGAACAGCTGAATTATTGGGATCTAAATTACAGGATTTATTACTACTTGAGGCAAAATAAACAGTAGCTTTGCATACTGTTTGAATGTGTTCTATCTTACCACATCTAAAACATTTAGCATTACGAAATGCACATGAATTACGAGAATGAAGTTTTCCACATGATAAGCATTTGCCAAACTTGTTCTCACCTTTGTGATTTTCTTTGTAATTCCTTGTTGAAACACCTTTCATATTTACACGAGAATAGGAGCTACTGTTAAACGAACGCAATTTTGATTGACCCTGAGATTGTATTCCGTCATGACGACTAAGCAAAGTATTAGAAATATTCATCGACTGGATATCAAGTTCATTCACTGCCTCGTAGTTAATACACGCAGTTCTAGCATCTTGAAAGGAACAGTTGGGCATTCTTAACAGCTCTCTTTCCAAACCCGGCAAGTTAATTCCTGCAATTAATCGATCTCTCAGTTGCACATGAAGTTGATCACCAAAATTACATTTGGCAGCTTGTTTCTGCAATTCAAGAATGAATTCCTTAACCTTTTGGTCATTTCGACGAGTCATCTTATGAAATTTTGCCCTTTCACGGCATTTAAAACTAGTGCACTTTACATGATTCAATAATAACTCCTTAATAGTTGCATGAGGAAGTGAGATAGGTTTTTATGGATATGCCAAAGTTTTTAATAAGCTGTATGCTTCTTTTCCGATGAATGTCAGGAAATGTGCCACAATTTTATCACCTTTAACATCCTTCTTGGTCATGCTCCAAATTTCAAACCTTTCCAAATAGTCCTCAAAAGCTTCAGAAGTTGAATGAATATCTAACTGTTCCATCGCAGGCTCCATCGCGACGCCAATATGATAATTAGGAGTAATTGAATTATAGTATGAACTAATAATCCTAGGGATAACGTAATTGAATCAAGAAGTACTACACAAGCACTAACGAATGTATTATTATTTTAACACATAGGTATTGGTACAAGGAGGCACCAAATACATATGTGCCACACAAATCTCATTTGATTTGTGTGAGGGCTGTGGTACTACCCGGGTGCCCAAACCGAAGCAGGTGGTTTTCTTCGGGGGCCACACCCCGAGCCTTTGACCTGAATGTCTGACCCACAAGGCAGTAGAGCATCGTGAGGAGATGCAGTCCCATGGTAGCCGGTGACCAACGATTGGTTCATACGCCATTTGTTTCTTCAGGATACTGGAGCCCATGTGCACCATTGGTTTAGGGTCCGGTTAAAGCGCCAGACATTCGCTTTTCGTCCTCTCATTTTTGTAAACAACACCCCCGCCACGAGAAGGCAGTGAGTACTGTATTTAGAATCCGAAATCAAACATTCAACAATTACAAAGGAGTCATTAGTTCATTCAAACACCACACATAGACAGAAAGTAAGAATCTATTTCAAGTGCTCCTCCTGGAAATCACTACTAAGTTTTTCAAGGCTTTGTTATAAGTTCTTTACTTTTTATATTGTATTTAAATGAACTACCAAGTATAGTTGAGTCCCCGATGCTTCTATATACTGATAATGTTAAAATCTGGCGAAAAATAATGGGAGATGCAAATGCATGCGCATATTTTGTCAGTATAGGGTTGTGGAGATTGCTAAGTGAAGATATTTTGATTGGCTGGTCTAAAAATGGCTGATGTTTATCAATGCTAAAAAGCGTATCTACATGCGCTTTGGAGATACAAAGGTAATAGGCACAGAATAAACGAACTACCTGTATCGGTAGTTCTGTCCTACAAGGATTTCGGGATGGCAGTGAGTCACAATCTTAAGACCACGACGCACTAATAGAGGGTTGCAGCTAAGGGGTTTAGAACCCTGTGGGTATTAAGACGGATATTCACCAAGTTAGATACTACTATGTTCACTACAGTATACATAACTTTAGTGAGATCCAAACTTGAAAACTGCGTTCAAGCTGCAAGCTTCTGTTTAAAAAAGACCCGAATGCCCTGAAAATGCACAGGTGGCAGCCATCTGTGCAAATTTGTAACTCTTATGTTCACCATACAAGAGCGGCTTAAAAAGCTAGATCTCTTTACTCTGTTCTACTTCAGATGGAGGTGGTCATATTTTGATGTATAAAGTACTAAGAAATTATTCTGGGTGTTATATATCCCTTTTTCTTACCATTGAACATAGGCAAAGAGCGAACAAAATACTCGTGGCATACATGTTTTCACACCGAGTCATCATTTCTTGGAACTTGTTACCCGAAGCATTGGTGTCTGCACCATTGATTCATTCCCTGAAGAGAAGACTAGATACTCACAGAATGTTGATAGAAACGCTCCAACAAAGGCTGTAGACGTTCTGTTTTCACTATACAAGTCTGCATATAGATCTCTAATCTGAATGCGATTCGCTCATTGACCTCCGATTATATTTACCGTTTGAAATCATAGAACCCAAAGCAGCTCAGTGATAGAAATAATCTTATCTGACGTTACTAAATATCTGGCAGAGTACTCTGGCATCAATATGAGAGGACAAATAAATCGGCTGGCATGTTGCTCTGTTACAATTACATTAGATATTGGATACTAACCTTGAAAAAGGCAGTGTAACAAACGTGTACGTTACTCAAGTGTGTAATTGTTCTTGCTCTTCGTTTCCTAGTAGATATTGTCACTACTGTCATTAAATTGGGGTGATAAGTTGTATTTCCTTTTAATATGTACAATTTTTTCTCAATCAGGGCCTCGTTCACTCTCAAACGCGATTTTACTAGAGTTGAACTATGTAATATACATATAATATTATGTATAATCGATAAATTAATATTTGTTTTGACATTTAGAACATTTTCAATCACATTTATTTGATTTAAGGCCTGAAGTAATTGCAGACTTCGTTCCTAGCTGAGCCATTTGGTGTATATACATAATATATATTATGTATATAGTATTTTGATTTTGCAAATGTTAAGTTAACGCAAAGAACCCTACTATTTAACCTACTAGAACGTGTTTAATTTATTTACAACTATGTAATAATCAGTTTTCCAAATAGATATAAAGTGACTCACTGATGGTAGTTCGCCCACACTATGTAAGATCTTCACACGATAAGTCAGTTATGTAACGAATTGTGTTCCACATGTTTCATAGTATATTAAACCTTTTTATTTGGTTAAAGCGGATGAGTTCTTTGGACTTAGTAGTACCGAGATACGCGATGAAATGTTTCGACGTTAGACGTAGGGTACTACAGACTCAATTTGGTTATAGGCTGTGAATGTTCATCTATTGATAGTCGGGATGTGGGTTTCTCGTATTTAACCACCGTCTTCTTCACCAACCAGTCTTGGCTAGAGCAGATGTTGGTTAGTAGAGTTGGTGAGACTATAATTTATGGACGGCCTTTGAGCGACGCTAGACTGACCTTGAGGGTGTCCACTTAATAACTAGGACCAGATGTGAAGGAATTATAATTATGATTTACAGTTGATTAGTAAGGCTAAGAACTGGATTTAGGGTTTTCGTGAACTGACAGATATAATGACAAAACTTTTTAACCAAATGGACGAGTGAATTTCGCGCTAAAATCCAAGACCTGTTATCTTATACGTGGTTGGTTCGTCCATAAATTATAGTCTTGTCCCCAGATTACGTAGTTGGTGTCAGCGTGATGAACGTGACCAGTGGTTGATGTTGGGCGATATAAATTAAGATTGATCACAGCTTTACAACTCTATTCACTGTTTATCTTCCTTAAATCCCTTTTCAGACCATATTCGTCAGTGTTTGGTCGTTCTTTATAATTACTACTGTTATTCCAACCCCTTACTATTTACAGCGTTAGTGATTCGATATGCTAACTTGGGCTGACATTGAGCGATGTTCATCAGTGCTGCCTGGCATCAATGTTTTTTGTGAAATTTTGTCAAAGACTAGCCTTTAGAGATGAGATCATTCGTTTAAGGTCTCAACTGTTGATTCTCCAATAAATTTGATTATTGACTTGAAATATAAAGATGGGATGGTGTAAACGCTTATAAAGTGAAGAGTCATTTGAATATTTTGATTAACAAGGTAGAAATGTTTGAGATGAGTTTTCCATCTATAAACACGAAATATTGATTCATTATTGGTCAGTGCCTAGTCTAAGCGTAGTGTTTTCAGTAGTGTGCTGAACTGACGACTTTGGTTATTTTGGTAGTCATGTTGGTTGATGGCCAATAGGACCGCTGCACAAGGATAAAAAGCTTGCTCGGCTTTTGCGAACCTGCAACACATTTCGCAGGTGAAATTCTAGCTTCTAATCAAGCTGGTCTACAGACTGTGTTCCACGAGGAGTAACAGGCGTAAGTGGTCAAGCTGTGAGTGTGACCGTTTCCTATAAAAGTAGCTGATATGCATAGGATGCATATGCTTGATGACAGATGTGGTTGGATAATTTCTTCCATAAAGCAAAACCGAAGTTAGAAATGTTAACATTTGTTACTTCTAACCTCATAGTAAATTCCGGGTGACATTGGAGTAGGTTGTAAAAACAGCTAGATTAAGGAGTGCCGATAGTCATTGAATATTGATATGAGCCATGTCAGTAAGTGCAAACTTCTTGTTCGGGATCCTTTTAGCAGTTTTAGTTTGTGACTAAAAATGTTTGTTGATATAGCGCATTATCGATCTTACGTCTGTTCTGTTCCTCTAAATCTCAGGTCATGTCACACATTTTCTTTCGAGGCACACTTCTCATCTTTAGGTCTCTATAAAAATTGATATTATTTCGCATCCTTTACCCCTCCTATTGTTAATTTTCTATCTTTATGAAGTAATGTGAGGTTTAGCAACGCAATATTATATATATATATATATATATATATATATATATATATATATATATAATCGTTGATGTGACATACTGTTACCCTAAGCTAGTACCTGTTTATTGATAGTTCCATGCTTTAAAATATAACTTACTGGTTTATGTACTCTACTTTTAATCTTTCTTCTAACAGTACTCTATCTGCTACTTTTTCCACAAACATCTGGATGATGTTATGAGCACCTCATACAATAAATAAGCGTAACTTACAGTTCATAACACAGCGCTATATATTCCTACTTGTTTTCTTAATTTCATCTTTTCTAACTTTAGTCCAGTATATATTTATCGAAGTAAATTCATAAGTATACAGATTTAACTGGCTATCTTATCTTTATTCCAATTCGTATTTTATGCCAAAAAATGTTATTCTTATTTTAGACTTTATGTATGGTGGTAAAGCAGAAGTTCAAATTACATTATCATTCTCGTAATGATTCACGAGGTTTCGTTACTGGTCAGTGTATTAATTCCTTTTATTAAGTATGGTGTTTCTTGTCCAGATGATGTAATAATTAGCTCAAGAGGAGGTCATAATATTAATATTGGAGATGTTATTGAAGTTTATCATCCTGAAGATGCACATCATGCTCTTTTCTTGGTTACAACTCTCAGTGATGATTTACAAAATCGTGGTAATGCTAATTACTGCTTTTTTACAACCAATCGTTTATATTTGTTATCTATTCTTAGATGTCATTAGTATAGAACAAAGTCTTGCACATACATTTAAATTGCAACAACATAAAAATGTGATTGTAAATGTGATGAATAAAGAAGTTAGTTTCTATAATTTTCATAGTTTCCATTTTATTTTTTGTAATAGACTATTTCATTGGATTTAGTTGAATTATACTTTCGAGATCAATACTTCAGTCGAAGAGATTTCTGTAATATTACACAGAAATTAGTAATTATTTCGTCTTTTTTTGGAATCCATTTCTTTTTCTACATAGATTGGTACTGTTGTACATGTGAATAAGAAACTTACTTGTAATGAAACAAGGTATATACTTGTATTCATATATATATATGTATGAATAATCTTACCATCACATAGAACACAGGTTGGTGATTTATGGCGCCTTGGTGAAAGATATTCTTGTGGATATATAGATTCAAAAACTAAAGTTTGTCAATGATTACTTATAAATATTAATAAAATGAAAAGATTATTTTTCGTTCTTCCACAGCAGTTATACATATTTTTATACAAATGAGTCAAGAAATGTGGTGGTTCGATAATAATGGTGATCTTTATCTAGAGAAAGCTTTCAAGTTTTTGTCAAAATTATTTTTGAAATTTTGGCCTGTTAGTTTCATTTTTAAAAAATATTATTCAATTTTTTAGGAAAATAATTGTAATCATGATACAACTGTTGTATTCTTTACTCGTATCTATATTGATGGTAAGTTGAGAATAACTTGGTCTCCATTTGTTTTTAAAGATTTTTGTTAGTATTAACTGAAATTTTACTATATTTTTTTGATTTGTTGATTTTAGCGTATTATAATTAGTTGTATTTATAGTTGTTAATGAGGTTTATGTACGTATGTAAATATTGTTTAATAGTTGTATGGGGTGCTCATAACATCATCCAGATGTTTGTGGAAAAAGTAGCAGATAGAGTACTGTTAGAAGAAAGATTAAAAGTAGAGTACATAAACCAGTAAGTTATATTTTAAAGCATGGAACTATCAATAAACAGGTACTAGCTTAGGGTAACAGTATGTCACATCAACGATTATATATATATATATACATAATATTGCGTTGCTAAACCTCACATTACTTCATAAAGATAGAAAATTAACAATAGGAGGGGTAAAGGATGCGAAATAATATCAATTTTTATAGAGACCTAAAGATGAGAAGTGTGCCTCGAAAGAAAATGTGTGACATGACCTGAGATTTAGAGGAACAGAACAGACGTAAGATCGATAATGCAAATGTAGAAAGACTACTGTATACCGGTTCGATATTTCACTTAGTTTTTTATTTGTTCATTGTCAAATTAAGCTTAATCCTTATTCATTTACTCTTCATGAAATCTTTTTTACGGGATTCTTCTCTATATTCGGTTTCTTTTACTTAAGGCTGAAGCACTTAATAATTAGTGATAATTGTTAAGCTGATTAGCCGGATTGCAAATCAACTGTGGTAAAAATTGAATGATTATGAACTTCGTGTTCCCTAACTCTGATATTAGTTCATAGTTACGTGATGAAATTAGCCCAAACTAAATCATAATCGTCACTTTTTAAAAACTTGATTGTATCAGTCCTTCATCCTAATTATAATCATTCGTCTTTGTGGATATTTTTAGTTGCTTTAGTAATGAATCTTTGGATATGAAGTTCTTCGGTGAATGTTTTCTGATTTTTTGTGATAATACATGCAGTACATTCTTATATGGTGATATCACTAGTAAATCGTCTGTAGCTAACACCTTAAGATGGTACATTTTACTTAACGTAGTGATCCAGTTGACCTATATTATCTGAAATACTTATTACTTGAGGCATAGTGTAGTATTTTAAGTCCCTTACCATGCTATCCGTTCTACCAAATGACTAAAATATTGAGTTTCATCATTCCTGCGGTTATCTTAAGTGATCTAGTAGTTTGTAATCGATCGATATAACACATACTGAATTGTGAATCATCTGTCAAAACTTGCTTTGCACACATAATTGTTTAAATGAGATACTATTTCCATCAGACAAGCCTAATTAAATTTACCACTGGGAATAATACATAGACGTATATTCTTTAACGTAAGGAAAGAAAGAGGTAGTACGGACACAAATACTTTAGTGATTATACAAGAGTAAATAACATAAATGCATACATTGTTAATGATGTTTTCGATAAGCCTAAAAGCGACGAGTTCATCCCTGTCTAAGTACTTAAATACACCTTATGCAAGCGTCGCGAACTGAGATACCATTTTTTCTAGTGTGTTTACTAGCTTTCGGTTTTTACAACTGATCTCTGCTCGTGGCAAAAATTCAAATATATATTTTTATTGAATACACGTAAAATCTGGCCAAACCGTGTACCAAAAGTAGAATATACCACGTAAATACAGCGACAACATTGTGATGAAATGAAGGGAGAAAAAGCAACAACGAAATAAGTGAACAAGAATAATTTACTATAAGAGACAATTTAAAAATAAGATCAAGAAAAACTTCTAGCTGAGGGATTTCATCCCATTTATATAAAGAATATGAGAAAAAAACTACATCAAAATCACTACTGCCTTCTGTTTTGAGCCATTTCTGTTAACGTCTCAAGGCATTGAGTTGCACTATCTCCAGAACCCCAACCAAACAGTCGTGGTGAATTCACAGCTACCAGTCTTACATAACCTTAATACTACGGTGCCATATAATAAAGTGACCACTTCTTCACACTTTTCCCTCCCAGTCCCATCGTTGACGTTTACTGCATGATATGAAAGCCGCTGGGCTAATATTCGTAAGATATATCCAAGCTATTAAAGTCGGTATTTCAAATTAATGATATTAACTGATTTATATATAACATCGTCTTAAGTATGTAGTGCATTCTACTAGTTATCCATAATTTGTAAGTATTTTATTTTTACTAGATGTACCTTCTGAATACTCTCAGTCGTTTAAACAAGATGCTTTAAGTAGATATTATGAAGATTTTTACAGGTAATGCATTAATTTGATTTTTTTCTATTTATATCGGCGTTTGTTATGACTGTTGTTAAATAATTTGTAAAATTTTTATTCTTATATGTATTGGGCATCATTATTTTTTATGACATATGAGGAACCAGTGTATCTGTTTTGATCATGGTAATAGATAAATAATGAGGTATGGCAACTTGGATCGATGCATATATGTGCCTGGTCCTACGTTGTAGCTGACCGACTGACTGAATATATAAATGAATCGTTCACAAAGGCAATATGGTAATTAGTAGAGTTGAAAAAATATTGATTCCAAACAAATGGTCATTTTTTATAACGTTTTTTTCGCATGAATTGTTATTCAATTTTATTAATGATTGATAGTTCCGTTAAGTTTTAACACCTAGTTTTGAATTTCACTGCTGTTACCTCGATTTTGGCTGGAAACCGTTTACAGTAGCGTAGAATTGCATTCATTTTTTTCTATGCTTAAAACCTGAGTTGCGAAGTCACTTTCTATCTTTTTATTTTCTTTTTCTACCCGTAATCCTTTCTACCACTACTACCAATGATACCATTCATACTGTTATCACTTTCACTACTCTGGGATTTGTTTTGACAACGTTATCTCACTTTGCTAATGCAGTATGTCAAATTAAACCAATCCATATATGTGTCAAATTCTACGTTACGTATAACTGACTAATAAAGTTCTATTCTGCCAATCGAATAGTACCACTAGGCCTCACACAAACATTTTAGCTCAAATGTGTAATTGGCAAGTAGGTTATATAGTAACATCAACAGTACACATCATTCATAAATAGATAAATTTTGAAACTACGAAGCATATGTAAGCTCGTTCTGCTAAGCTAATATTATGTAACACAGACCTGATTTATTGACTTGGTTTTGTAGTGTAGCAACTCGACAGGAACATACCATAAATCCTATCAATATATAGAAATTATGCACTGATTTAATTGATTCAGCTTAAATTAATATGACTTGCATCGATTGAGTTGATCATAGTCTACGATAACACATGGTTCATATATGCACGGGAAAATTTGATTATATAATCTTTCACTAAGAATTGAAATGAAATTATTTTAATTCTGTAGTTTTGAAGTAAATATCACAGTGGTATTTCTGAAATGGTTGTGATGCCACATAGAAATTATACTCGCTTATGCATCTTAAACGAACTATATTAAAAATGATAAAAGTATCATGGATATATGATGTCAAGCAGAAAATTTGTTGAAATTATTAGTATTCTTAACAACTGTATATTTTGAAATGTCAATAATCGGTCCCGTTTATAAGTCGAACATAGATTCACGTAGTATGCTTTAAACCTTATGTATTGTTGAAACCTACTTTGATGCTCTGAGATTAAAATCTGTTATAATGCCAGTCATAATTGTTGGGAAGACCCAATGTATTTCTCCGAAAAAGCCCAGAGGGGCTCTGAAAACACTGGGAAACATTTTATCCAGTCAGCACTGAATGGAAGTTTTTCAGAAACATTTAGAAAGTGAATAGCTATGCGTTACATTTCTAATTGGATGATTACCTGTCTTGCTGCTATGCTTCGCAGGGTTCCAGATTCTTCCAGAATCCCAAAGCCATCCGAAATGTTATAAATACCCTCAATTTTCCGTACATAAAACTGACCTTGTGGCAGAGTGTTTTTTCTACATTTCGCGTCTTTCCTCTGGTGTTCAAATTGTGTAGATTTAGTCTGGGGTTACTAAGAGTTTAAGAAACGGATTCAAGTGTTCAGTCAGAAGATTTATCAACAATCAAGTTAAAACGTGACAATTATTTATCACGCCAAACTCCCACACCATACCAGCAAAGTGAGATGAAAGTAATGAGATCGATAGCAAGGGAGTTTGAAAACGAGTAGCAGTTTTATGGTCTGCTAATCTAATGAAGTCATAATACACATTTAACGCTTACCCAAGTAGTTCTTCATAGTGAAAAGATTAAGGCCTGTTTGACCTTACAGTAACATATAATCTGTCTAAAATCACCTGATCTATTGGCTCTGCATCTTAAGAAGTTATCATCTCTGTATTTTCATTTACTACTTGGCGTATGGCATATCAAGTATCATAAATAGTAGAAAGGAAGAAACCTGGAGAATATAAAGACTTAAATAAAATTGTTTAATTGTCATAATAAAATCTAACATCTGACTGTGTGATTAATGGATTAGACAGTTAATAACTCAGCCACTTCACTCAATTAAGCTTATACATATTAATGGTGTCATTAACCCTTACACAAAAGCAATGTAACTCCAGAGCTCAAACCGGTCAGCCATAACTAACATAAAACCTGGCATTTATGCGTTTCGGCTCGAGCTACCGCATTGTATCAGCACAACGAGGTAAATTTATCAGGGCAAATGCCAACCGCAGAAATAGATGTATTAACATAATCAGTGGTGCTGTAGTGAACGAAAACACAAGTGGAGGAAATCGAATGTATTTGAATGCAAAATTACAGAACATCTTAGTAAAATCTGAGAACCATACAGTAAATACTCCATTTGCAAAATATCAATCAATTGTCTCAAACTTCATTGTTCTTTCGCTTTCACACCAATCATTCTCTGTTCTTGTTCTCTTTTCTTTGAACTTCTGCCTCCAGGCATTCCACTTTCGATTAATGATACATACTACTTATATCTGTCGACATTAGTAGCACACCACAGTAGTATTAAACATTGGGAATAAACAATGTAACTCAAGAAAGAATAAAGTTTATGGGATAAATGTATTAGATAGTTCTAAAACTCTATGTATAAAGAAACAGAAAGTGAGTGTATTCTCACCACAATGATCGTTTCTGAGCTATACCACTCAACATCCTGGACCATTGGTTACGATAATCGCGTGAACACTACAAAGTAGTGTGCATCTACGTACACGGTGTAGTCCCACAATCAATAAATTCATGGACTAATGCCAAGTCTTCGTTTAGTCACTCCTATCTTTCTTCAGACCTATTTTTACATCAACAGACATCGCACCTCGACATAGACTGTTGTTAAACATACACAATATATATATCCCAACCGCCACATTTAATGAAAATTCACTATACCGTCAATCGATTCGCAAATTTGGAGCACTTTTCTATCCTTGAATATCAAGTTACGTAATGAAAAGCATAAGTTAATTTGGCAGTCTAACAATTTCTGTTTTCTATATTTTATTGATTGTGTATCATTTATTCGTGTTAAAACATGTCACTATCTATATATGATTATTGTTTTACTATCAAGAGTGATTATACAAAATGAACGTTTTACAACAGATGATTGGAAGCGAGAACTTGGTCGAATGCAATATGAAATACTCCAATTTGAAAATAATATTTACTCTTATTTACGCAATACTTATCCATTAATTAATAAGAACTCAAATAAAACAAAGTTAAATATATGTACAGCTATGGATGCTAATCTCTTGGAAGTATTGAATATGGCTATCAATCGTAAGTTTCTTATTGTTAATATTATAGATATCTATCTTTAGTGGGAATTGTTATTCTCTTATTAATTATGTGTATACTCATATATTTTTATGTATAAGGGCTAATGGTACCATCTAGAGCTGGCTACTAACACTCAAGTATATAATATTGATTATCTAAAGTGGCCTATAAGCAAGCACTGCTTAATTATAAAACAATTAACAACAAAAAAGCAATAACATTACAGTGGAATAATAGATTTAATATAATTAATTCACCCTTACATGTTGAATTATTCGTTATAGTAAAAGAAAATGGTTATGTTATGCTATCAGTTAGGGTTATCACACCATAGAGTTTTGATCACGAACTGACATCAGCTTTAGTAACAGTGAACCACTAATAGCCTTTTGTGTATATGCTTGGGAAAGTTAAGGATGTGATTAAGAGTTATGAATCAGTGTAGGATAATTTTATCCAACCATACAAACACCCTTAACATTACATTGAATCACAACAAATACTCTAACATACAATCTGTATCAGAAGGTATTTCTTGTACTATGGATTAAATATCATGTTATATTCGTCGTTTGGTTGCATACTAAACATCAAATATCTTCAGAACCAAATATTGCCAAATTTCACTTAGTTTCTAATAACATACAAGCTATCTTTCGATACGCTTCCAATACCGCACAAATGTTTGTTAGGTGTCATCTTAATACTGATTGGTTGACTTAAAGGCGTCAGTATAGTCTAATTTTACCGTAGATGCAATGGGGGTGTGAACTTATAGGATTAATAATTGACCATGGAGTTCTCTATGACCATTACAACCTATCGCTCTTCTTTTCCTTCATAGCTTAGTCAAATAATTTCTCTTAATGAGTTCATTTTCAAAGCTCTACAGTTATTCTTATTAAATTATAAGTCTAAAATCAATTTTTATGTTTGTCAGCATACGAATATAGTGAAGTTTGATCGTTAAAATTGACTACATAGTTTTGAGTACATAGTTACCGCAGGGGAAATTTATGAAACTTAAGAAATAATAATAACTCATTAAGATTTGGATTGATCAGGATAATTGCACGTTGGTGTGCGATTGACTTTGTGTTTCTATATATTTAGCACAACTAATTAAATTCAATAAAGCTACATCTGGTTGTTTGCGCGAAATCCGAAACGTAATGACTGCTAGCTTGTACCTTCTGTAAAGCTCGGCGGAATTTCCCATTGTTCATTTCTCAAGATGCTTAAAATTGATAAACATGTATTTTATTCAACCGAACATTGTATACAATGCGTTTTGAAACGTTATTTATAAGAAAGACTAACTACTTCTAATGTTGTTCTATCTGAAGGTAATATAAGAGCTCTCGTAGAAGAATGCTCTGTAGCTTGGAAAGTGAGTTTTAATCCCACAGAGAATAAACCAGTTTCTAACCTGTAAAACTTCATAAGCTCCATTATAAGTAAATACTGTTTTATAATTAGGTAGAAAGTCATTTGAAGTATACTTAGGCCAAAAAACCGTATCAAACAAATGCCTTGCCCCATTCTGTTTATAGCATATATACTTCATTTGTCTAGTTATTTCAAGTAACTTTTCGATCTACTAACAAGTAGTTTAACACAATTTATTAAAACAAGATAGACATTTCCGTGGCATGATTTTAAATCCTTGCCGTATGAAATTGACGTTGTTAATTTTTGCACTGATACCTTGAAACGTATGTTACATTAAAGTAAAGAAAACTGTCTTTATGACATTTGATAGGGCAGATGAAGAATTGAATCTTAGAAATCCAGGCAAATCTCAAATCTTGTTGAATAATGTAGTGTTTTGACGTATCTACACTACTGATAAACAATATTGTGAGTAACGTCCTTGTATAAGACTCCTCGGCAGTGCATGTTCACGATCCCGCACGCGGGGTTCGAACCAAGAGTCGTCTGTCTTACACGCGAACGCCAAACCTCTAGACCGCTGTACCGTCATTCAACGGTATTAATGTTTAACTTCAACCAATCCACGAATTTGCGCGACCATCTTCCATTGTTTAAGGTAGATACCTTTTTCTACATGAAATGGATTGACTCCACTGGTTATGGCTTCATTCATTTGTTGAATTGAACAATATTCGATCAAGTTTTTCGTTTTTTTTCGACAAAAGTTTATTTATTTATTTGAACACAAATATTGGTACAAGGGGGCACCAAATATATATGTGCCACACAAAACAATGAGAATACGAAGAGAAGAAGAAGAAGGTATGGAGAGTAAAAGAGAAAAAAAGAACAATAACGACCAGATTAGTGTAAGGTGGTGTAATAATAATAATAACGGGGGAAACGGGAAGGTACAACCAGAAAAACTCTTTCAGTTAAGGAAGATACAATCACTTTTTATGAAGAAAGTAAAAGAAGGTTACAGCAGGATCGCCACTGGCTTCTATTCTGAGCCGTATCTGATAACGTCTCTAGCCACTGTGTCTCACCATCTCTCGGACCCCAGCCAGGGAGTCGTGAAGGACCAACAGAACCCATCCCTTTGCAGCTTTCTTTCATACCCTGACACCATGTCATACACTGACCAATTTGAATGGTGCACGTGGTTTCAGAAAAACTGCTTCAGTATTCGTATTCGACGGTAGCATACAATTTTCAACCAGGCAGTGACTCGAGAACGTTTAGATAGAACCGAGATTCCACCATAGGCGAGCTGCTGTATAAGTCGAAAAATAAGGATACATAAAGTGGGAATAAAAGAGAGTGAATAAATGACGTGGTAAATAATAATAATAATAATAATAATAATAATAATAATAATAATAACGTGAATTGTTTGATCGTAAGTCAAAGCGAGAATAGAGTTTTCAGTAAATATCGTCCTTTTCATTATATCTGTGTGTGGGCTGTGATACTGCCCGGGTTCCCAGACCGAAGCAGGTGGTTTGGTTAAGGGTCCACACTCCGAGTCTCATCCACAAGGTAGTGGAGCATCGTGAGGAGATGCAATTCCATGGTAGCCGGTGACCAACGATTGGTTCATACGCCATTTGTTCCCTCAGGATACTGGAGCCCATGTGCACCATTGGTTTGGGATCCGGTTAAATCGCCGGACATTCGCTTTTCATCCTCTGATTTTCGTAAACAACAGTAATGCCACGAGAAGGCAGTGAGTAGGAATTCCCTGACAGAGGCTGTATACGCGTGGCCATGTGAGAGCATTTCGAGAGGGAGGGCGGGCCCACCCCACTCTCGGCCATACCAGGGCATTTGGGGGCCAACAAAAGTCTACCTTTTTTACAATATAAATCACTTAATTAAAATATTATTATTATTTTTTTATATATAGTTTATTCGGGATATAATATTGATCGGAATTTTGATCGTACTGGTAAACTTCTATTTGTAATTACACCAGGTTCTGGTGTCTACCATGTCAATGAAAATCTTTTATTGTTAACAAAAAAACGAGTTCTTGATTTAGGTGAGTACAAAATTACGTAGTAAACAAATTATTCTTTATTAAATAGTAAAATTGATGCATTGTATTATTTTCATTAGTTATTAGCTAATAAAGTCATATTTAGTTTGACGTGAAGTGTTGATAGAGATCGATTATTTTAGCTGTCCTCACAATTTTTTTGTAGAAAATATTTTTATGTATCTACATTTTCCCCCGCCACGCCACCCCCGTAGTTCTCTTGCCTACCAGAATTTTAACGACTTTGATTAACTCCTAGGTTGAACTAGTGTTAGTTGATTTTCCAACTGGTTTGACTGTCAAGTTTCTCAATTTAATATGTTTTGGTGTACGTCCTATACATACATCTCAACTGTTGTTACTTACTTACGTACACCTGCTGCCCCTCGTGGAGCATAGGTGGTCGACCAATGTTCTCAATGCTTAATTCTGTTTGGGATATAAGTAGGCCAAAATAAACTATGGATAGCTAAATCAAGACGTGGCATTAATCGATGAAGTTATTGATTACTGATTTGAACCATGTGGATTGACATACAATAATCGGTACGCGATAATCATAATCAATGGTGGGCGACACTGAATAAAATAATTCCTATCAAATGTCATCATTTTTTTATCCACTTACATATTCGGAGTCTTTACGTTATTTTGTTTCATTTCTGTTTTAACGACTTATTTAATGTTTAGCTACTTTCTACTATTAACCCGGACCATCTGCTTTTAGTGGCCCTTGTATCTGATTTCAATTAAATCGTATGATGTTTGTTATTGAAACATACATAATACCAACCTTCGTATATAATTATCGACTTAAATCACGTTAGTGAATAACGGGACTAAATAAACCAAATAGATTTTGAATACGTATATTTCATACAATCGTTGATCTGGATAGACAATCAAGGAAATGAAGCGAAGTAAGTAAAAAGGAAACAATGAAATTACACGTAGTGAAGCAAGTGAATGAGCTAACTCATTATGATCAATTGTGAATCGATATTTATATTTAGAAAAGGATAAATTACAAACACATGAATCGGGTAATTAATTAGTTAATGAACTTCAACTAATTCTATATAACTAAAGATTTGCTTTGTCTTTAAGTGCTCAAATTTTTTTGTTATGTAATAATGGACGTTTTCCTATTTTATTATTGCCTTCACGCAAGTAATCTAAATAAATTAAGATTCCATATATTATTTATCATGAATCTCTACGTTTATTATTATTAATCTTCATTTCTGGAGTGTAGGTGTTGGAGTAGATTTAATCTGTCTGGCAGAACAACCTCTTCATGCAGTTCCATTGTTTAAAGTATGTTTATCATAAATTTATACTAAATAAAATATGTATATGAATTACCAATTGTTTATAGTTCCCAATCGTCCCTATTAAGAGTTGTCATTGATCAGTCTCTATTTTCACGTATGCATCTTGTGCAGATTGCTTCTCTAGAACATGCATCTTAATTTTCACCATTATTCGTAATTTTCAATATGCTAAATGCATGAATATTTTGACAGAATGTTTTTCTTCACGGACTGATATCGGATGTAAAAAGGATTCTTCAATTAGAGAGCATCATATAATTTGTTTGTTTCAATTTCAAAAATCCTCATCAATATAAACACATGACCTCACATTAATATTGAACCATGGACTTTTAAATCTTAGTACTCAGCAAAATAGCATTACCGTCAAGTCAGAATATTCATTCACAATATAGTGCGAAATAATGTTCTCTCAAGATTGTAGGTATTCCTAGTTCACAGTTGGCAGGTAGGACGAAACTTAGATCCAGTGTCTTTTGCCAACTTCATCCAATCACTACTTAGCATTGAGATGTAGTATGTTCATGCTTTGTCGAATCACCTAATGTTTACGGTTGTATTTGGTCGATAGAATCCAAAGTGTACTAAGGGAATATGATATTTTATGGTGTTTTTCATCATCATAGGTGACGTAAGTTGGAAAAAACCAAACGAGTTTTTCGAATCCGTGCTGAGATGTCATCAGACACCAACCCATTAGAGCTGATCAGACTTCCAACATAAGTGAAGTTGTCAACGCGTTCGACTACTTCACTCCCTATCCTTAGTTTAGGTGTTGACGCAGACCAGTCCTGAAGCAACAATTTGCATTCGGATGGAGAGAAACGCATTCCAAACATTCTGGCATTGTTGCTTAGTGCTACCAGAAGACTGTACATTTTGTCAGCGTCTTCACCAAACAGGACTATGTCATCTGTGTATCCCAAGTCGATAAGTGGACCTCTTGAAAGGAAATCAATCCCTGAGAATTCAGTCGACGAGAACGTTATTTCCATCAGTGTGTCTATGATGAAGTTGAACAAAAATGAAGAAAGTGGACTAAGATGGTTGGGCCACGCGTTGCGTATACCTGAACATCGATTACCACGACGCGTAATACTGACTAGTGTTGGGGATGGTTGGAAGAAAGTTAAGGGTAGCCAAACCAAAACGTGGCATCAGTGCTTGAAGTCACTAACTTCTAGTCTTAGCCATGTTGGTAGATACAGACTACTTGGTTGAGGTCCGCATGATTATCCTAACTAATGGTTGGAGACTCTGGGTGACATGGCTCAGAATCGATCACAATGGCGTCGGTGTATACACTTTTTGTCTTCCCCTAAACGATGAGATTAAAATCACTTCATATCTTTCTTTCTACGTACTAACTCTTTCTTTCTGTACTATTTCCTTATACACAATCTTTCTTTTATATATTACTACCTTTGGTGTGACTACTTCTATGAATCCGGTGTTCATCTTGTTGTGCTAATGAGGTATGGGAACTTTTATCGATGCATATATGTGCCTGGTCCTACGTTGTAGCTGACTGACTGACTTTTCAGCATCATTTAGTAGTTAATCAATGTGAAGTTGTTCTCACTATGTAGCTAGTAGACTGATGTTTGAAAAATATAGATCAATGGGTTCTAGCTGAGTGACTCGACGATATAGTACTCGCTTTTAGACCTAGAGATGGTAAGTACGATTTCTTACAGGTTCATATATGTACACTCTTATGGCGTTCCAAATTGAAACGTACGTAAGTAACTCATTCACTTAGTGTTGATCCATGTACTCACTTTTAACCACACTCTATGTCTAAGGGCTAGTAATACTAGCAGGTTGCTCAAACTAAAGTAGGTGGAGCGGGACTAAAGCCTTAAAACCTAGTGGTTGAAAGCCAAACACCTTAACCACTACACTTCATTAAAGCGTAGTAATTATGGATTGCTTTTTGGCTTTTAATGACTCTACAATATCAATGCATGACAAAGGTAGTTTTCTAAATGAATCATCTTTACAGATCACTGAAATAAATAAATGGGTTATTGTATTATTTGGTACTATGCACTACATAGCATTCAGAAAGTTAATTTGGTTTATTAGATTAATAAAAACACACCATCTATTAAGCTACAGTGTGTATTCCCCTCGCTGATTTTTATTATAAAGGCTGATTGGCGATATTCAAGTCATAGCTTTTGTGACATACGAAAATAATAAGTTGAAGATATAGCTATTTGGTTTGCCGTTGCTTTCATCTCAAATACCATCAAGTTGTGTGCAGTGATTTATCCCTGGACAAAGTGGTGATCTTAAACGAAAGCATTCAACATTATGAAAGTTTGTGGAGATTATTGAATATTACCGACATCACGAATCGGCCTGTTGGTTTATCGAAAACCTCGAAGTTAAACATGCACACAACTTGATTTCGGTTCAATAGTCTAAAGGTTCGGTGATAGCTTGAGACACTGAAGATCCGGAACCCTGAATCAACGCAGCTGTAAAGTCGTATATTAGGACAAGCAGCTGTTCAATGTTTTCAAATTCTCATGGTTGTCAAGTTTTTTCTTGATCTCAGGAAAGCATTCATATTTATCTGTTAACAGACTATGCAAAAGATTTTTGGAGACTATTTTTATGACCATTCATTTGATTCATAAGGCAACATTTAGGTTAAACTGTAATCAGTCTTTTATTTATTTATTTGAATACACAAACACTGGTACAAGGGGATACTAAATACATATGCGCCACACAATAACAATGAGATCAGTATCAATCATCATTGATTTGTATGAGGTCTGTAATACTGTCCGGGTGCCCAAACCGAGCACGAGTCGTACCATTTTATAAACAAACGCTTTGTTTTCAATGCGAATATTTACCTTGACTCTGGGCCCTTGAGTTTATTTCAAAACTTAGTTTATTTTTATCTGGATTAATATATTATAATACCTAGTTTTAATAATCTTTTTCTCTTTCTTGTTTTTCTTTTTAGATTTTATCTGAATCTTTTATAAATCCAGAAGAATATGTTGCACCTCATTGGATCAATTGCAGGTAAGGTTACTTTCCACTGAAAGAAATCAATAATCTTTTATTTTGTTAATCTATAATAGCTATTTTAAATCAGCACAAGAATTGAAATATATTGAAATGGGCAAACCATTCCCACGTGTTAAAGTAAGTAGTCTTTTTATGTATACCTACTTTGTCTACTATCAGTAGTATATCTTTTAATGTTAAATAATTCGTGTTAACTTTACCACGATATACATTCTAATTCATTTAGAATTTATATTTCCTATTATATAAATTTAATGGGCTTCAGATAACTTAAGCAGTTACTTACTTGCTTTTTGGAAATTATTCTTAATGAATAGACGCTAGTATTTCCTTACAGGTGAGATTTTAACTAAGTTTCACTTTTTTTTCTTGTTTAAGGCTTACTGACAATATATAACCATCTAAAATAAAGTAGGTGATGATTCGAGTTCGAATCTCTAACCTCTTCCAGTTTAACCCTGAAAATTTGTTACTCTACTTAGTGAGTAGGTGTTTGAACTTTGATTTTTAACTCACTGACTTTAATATTATGTTTCTTGATGTATGCTTAACTTTTTATAGGTTGTTTCTTTTAAACATGTAAATGATGTACCCATTTCGACATTTATCAATGATCTACCAAGAGATGATCATCAACCTGGTAATCAGCAAACGTATGTCATGTTAAAATCATCTTCTTAAAAATTTTTTCTAAAAGTAATTTATGATCAATGAACTACTTACATGGTAAATTTATGTATGTCATGTAAAGGATATATTTTTATTTGTAATGTATTTAACACAGTTTATTGAAAATAGGTTAGTCAGCCAGTAACAACCTAGAATTTCGTACGTACGCACATCAGTTCAAGTTGCCATACCACATTAGTACACAGGTACAATTGTCGATTCAAATCCCATAGTCGTACAGGTAGTAAAAAGTATAAGCAGTAATCGGAAACATTAGGGTTTCAAGATATTACTCAAGGAGTATAATCCAGTGAAATAAATTTGGAAAGAGAAAAATGGGACATGAAGAATTCAGGAGATTAGAGTTTGAGAGAACACAGAGTGGATGCACTTGCGCCATTGTAAACGATTATGAGCCATGTCATTCGAGGTCTCTAACTATCGGTTGCTATCGTCTCACGGATCCCAACCAGGTAGTTTACATCTACCAACATTGAAAATAGGTGATATGATTCATTCTATAAGTATAGATAGAATGTTATTTCAATAAAAATGATTCTATTACCTGATTAAGATTTTTTATATATAAATCTTGTTTGGAAGTATACGTATTATCAAGTTAACTGTTTAGAATGATGAACATATCTTGAATGATTATTCAAGTATTTAAGAGAATGCAGATAGATAAATAGGTAGATAGATGGTTCACAGTAATACGATACATGATAAGTCTTGCTAAATGTACTCTAGGTCCGATTTCCTGACCTTTTTTAATAAACTCAGTCTAAATCTACACTGCAACTTGAATTCAAAAGAATAGGCGTGAAGTGCAAAAAGAATGTTCAATTCTAGATTTGTTTAAATACAGAAAGACTAGAGTATTAATAGAATTACTTTAGATTTTGGAAGTTTCTGAAACCATAATAAATATAGTAGCAGTGTAGGTAAATACCCAGTCGATAACATGACACGTGACTCTCCACCTTCCAGATGTTTTTGTGAAGCATTTATTCATTATTGGTTGGACAGATTGTTTTCTAACATTTTGTGGACCTCTATAGACTTTTCCGAGAAATAGTTTGGAACATCTCAATATTTGAATCGGTTGATCACCGTTCAAAACACTGATTTATTGATGCAAGCCTTCTGAATCGTCTTACTGTTAGTGTTTACTCTTGTTCTTTATATCATTTACTCGGTCGATTAGATCTTAGGATAGCTATGTATGGTTCTAAGTTGCCACATTTTGCGTCAGTACATTAAATGAGGAAATGAACAAGGCAACAAAACTAAGTTCTCTAAATAATATTAATCATGGAGAATGTAGTTTAAAAAACCGGATTTATGAACAACGGACTGACTCTATTGTCTCTTATTCACAAACAACTTTCTACTGTATTCAATAATGATTCAAATGTTGTACTTCTTTGAATGCTCGCTTACCGTAGTTTATATTAAAATGTTTTGTCTATTATAATATCTAAGCTTTTTCAACCTAAACTATCATTCACATGTCTCCATTCTAAATTCTTTTCTCATTCTAATCTGTATTCTTGTGGTTCCGTTGAATCAATACACTTCAATTATATTCTAATTTTTCCAGTCAAGTTATAGCTATTATTATTTTCTCATATCATATAGGAACGTCCCGAAGGAAAATTGTGATGATACTATTCCTACTACTACGTCTATTACTATCACTAAGTCATCTCTTCCTATCTACCGTATCGCCTATCCACCATACCAATCACCATCTAACCAAAACAAACGTAAAAAATCACATCAACTACCAAATGAAGTAATCAGTGGGAATTTAACAAAATCTCACGATTCCATAACAAGCGATTATTGTTCACCATCAACTGTTCGTCATCAACTAGATGATAATCCTTCACATATGATATCATCTATAATAGATCAGTCATCTTCTGTAGAATCAAATCTTATACCTATTTGTTGCTTGAATCATACAACGTATATTTCAACGAATGCAATAACAGCTATTTGCAAATCTAGACAAATTGTTTCAACATCATCATCATATAGGAATTTATCACGAAGTTATGATTCGTATATCACGTCTAATGGTTCTATAGCTCCTCTAGTTAGTTCAACTACTGTTAGCGGTATCGGTTTTGGTATTACTAGTCATAGTCACATTGTTAATGTAGATAAGTACCAACCAACTAATCATATACATACGTCATTGTCACATGTCTCATCGATTGGTGGTAGTAATAACAGTGGTAGTGGTAGTATTAGTGGTTATACAACAATTACCTCGCTCCCATCGGTTCGTGAACGCTGTATAGAAAATGGTCAATTAAAATTAATAACTGATAAAAATCAGATTTTATCAATTCCAGTGACATCTCGGAATGCTAGAAATCGAACACAAAGTTTTAATGGGGAACAAAGAACAAAATTATCATATATAGATAATCATGCCAGTTTCAGAGAAATTCATAATTCTGTGAATGGGGCTAATTATAATGTAAATAGTGCTGAAGCTGCATATCTACATGAAAATGCTATTTCTCGTTGTCGAAGTAAGTAATTTATGTGAATGTATGCATGTTTGTTTAGCCGGTTCATTTTATCTGACTGTTTTTCTACCATCATTATTCATTTCTTGCATATTAGTTATATGGAAGTACATAAACCTTGTAAAGGCTCTTTACTTGAACACTACCAGTCGAGTCAGAGCTTATAGCGGACTGTCATCTGATTTCGCAACCTCAAGTGGTGTTCCGCAAGGCTGTCCACTTTCTCCATTTTTGTTCAACTTTATCATAGACACACTGATGGAAATAACGTTCTCGTCGACTGAATTCTCAGGGATTGATTTCATTCAAGGAGGTTCACTTATCAACTTAGAATACATAGATGACATAGTCCTGTTTGGTGAAGACGCTGATAAAGTGCAGAGTCTTTTGGTAACACTGTACAACAATGCCAGAATGTTTGAGATGCGTTTCTTCCCCACTAAATGCAAGCTGTTACTTCAACACCTGAACAAAGGGAATGATGGTAAATCAGTTCATGAGGTTGTGAATCTTCATCGACTGAGATGGTTGGGCCACGTGCCTGAACACCGATTGCCACGACGCATAATGCTTATTAGTGTTGGAGATGGATGGAAGGATGTTAATGGTCAGCCAAACCAAAACGTGGCATCAGTGCTTGAAGTCACTAACTTCTAGTCTTAGCCATGTTGGTAGATACAGACTACTTGGTTGGGGTCGGCGTGACTATCGTAACCAATAGTCGGAGACTTTGTATGACATGACAATACATTGCTCATATATGTTGGAACCATGGAGTTAGCAATTCTAAGGTTAGACACAGTGTAGTAGGTAAGGATGGCAAATCGATTGATGAGGTTGTGAGTATTTATCAAATGATATAGTAGCGATATATAGTACGTATGCTCATCTACTAACTACCTTGATCGGGAATAATGGTTGATGTAGGAGTAGGTTGGAATAAAGCTTGGGGTGGCTAAACCAAGACGTGATCTGACCATGAATGCACTGACTGTTGGACTGAGTTACGTGATTATCATATTCAGTGGTTATCGGTGTTTTATGACAATGTTCAGAATAGGTCTCAATGGCGTCGCTGCATTTACTCTCTGTCTTTCCTTAGAACCGCAGGTTCTAGGTGTCATAAATTTTTTTATTCCATTAATCCACACTTTATAATGAGGTGTGACAACGTGAACAGATGTGCATATGTGCCAGGTTCTATCTTGCATACGACTGACTGACTGGAATGATTTTTTCTAGTTTTCTCTAAATATGAAGTCTATCACTAAATTTTTATTTATTGGCTAAGAATATAACTAGTATTAAAGCGTTGACTTAGTATTTAGGACAATCATCCAGATACTAACTAGGTCTAATGTTGTTTAACTTCGGTGATTAGATGACAATCGTTATTTTTGATGTGGTATGGTTGCTGACAGCCATACTAGAAATACGAGAGCTAATGATACTATGAGATTGCCTAGATCCAAGTAAGTGAAATCGGGTTTAAATCTATAACTCAGCGTCTGAATGCCTAAGCCACTGATGTATTGCTCCACTTCGAATGTATTTTTTTAGTTATGTACATGGATTCTTACCTGGTAATGAGTTATGGATTCACACTCTCGTATAACTGAATAATTGTATCACTAATTTTGGAGCAAAATACACAGATGGTCGAGAGTTTTACTATTTTTGTATATAAAGTTATTTGTTCAGAGTAACTGTTGTAGTTTTGTATTCCTTTAAGTAATATATATATATATATATATATATATATATATAAATTTTTCTTTTCAGCAATGGATGTTATCTTATCAGATGGACAACCATCTCCAAGTTCATGGAATATCATCACTCCTCAACACTTTACACTACGTAGTTGTAATTCAATAGACCGTCGTACTAACGGTACCTTGTCATTATCTGGATTAAATTCTCATACTTTACCATTTATTCGTAGAAAATCAACAATTACATTATATTCAGCAATAACAACCACTACTACTTATAATACTACTAATACTAATACTCCAGTACATTGTGGAAAATTTAATTCAACTACATATTCACGTAATTTAACAAATTATACAACTAGTTCACTTATATCAGGAGCATATTTTCCATTTGGTTTAAGTAAAAATCCATATAGAATGCCAATATCTGCTGGTCAACGTAGATGGGCACTTGTTCGTCCATCAGGTTTGTTATAGTAACAATAATATTAATATTTTGATGTAATTAAACGCAAAGATTTAAGGGGAATAATGTGAATTTATTTTATTTCGTTATAATCTCATCAGACAAACAGACATCATCAACATGGTATCTGGTCATTTGTTGAGATGAAAACAACAAAAGAGACTAAAATAGTATAGGCGCAACGATAAAAAAGACCACATGTTAGAAGTATGCTTTGAAAAGACGGAATAGAAAGGTATTCGTGAAGAAATATTGAAGTTCAAAATCGATAGAAAGATAAAGAGTGAATATATTTGTTCTTCTGTGAATGATTCTGAGCCATTTTACCAAAAATCTAACCACTGATTATGGTTATGGAGTTGACCCCAACCAGGTAGTCTGCATCTATCAAAGAATCAAGCATTGCTCTTTGAAGTAGTCAGTAGATGAGCTTACACAATATATGTCCTAACCACCTCAGTCTATGAAGATCCATCACCTCATCAACAGACTTATCACATCTGTCTAACTTCAAATTTACTCCGTTGGTCCTTCTTTAAAATACGAGCAATGTTTCGAAGACAAAGGTTATCAAAGACCTTCCAGCCTAAGCCTATCTTTTATTTACATCGTCTATCTTTCACATACAGAAAGTCGAACAGATTCATACAAACTATTTTTAAATCAAAATTATACATAGAATTTAACATACTTATACAAGAGAAGTTGGCTAGCACTAAAGTTATATCATCCTAATGTGGCAAAGATTTCAATGAAACTTTATAAGATTATAAGAATAATATGTTATAAGTAAAATGCATAATGTGTAAGAATAAATTCCAGATTATTAAAAATAATAACTGAAGCTCATAATGCTAGAAAAAAACTTGAAATGTATTTCAATATATCTTCAGCATTGGATATACTTTTGATAGAGATTTGTTCTCTGAGTTGGATGGTTTAATCGTTGAGCTTTCGTCGTTCTTCTGAACAACCTCATCAGCACAAACTTCAGGTAGAAGTAAAGTGTTCGAATTTCTCCACATGTGATTCACAGCTTGTCCTGTAGACCTCAATGTTGATTGGTTATTGTTGACCATAAACCTCTCATTGTTTACTTCCTTTGTTATTTAGAACTACAGTTGATCAGTCTCTTGTTGGCATATGTGCATCCTGTACGGACTGCCTCGATATTACATTAATTCACAAGCATTCTAAGCAAAGATCGATAGTGGCTAGCAGTGAAATACAGGATGCGCGTCCCGTCCCATTTGGGACTCGTCAGCTGGATTTACCTGCATCGTAGAGTTGATGCTCACTCCGGGATGCAGGTGCATCCAGCTGATGAATCCCAAATCGGACGAAACGCGCATCCTGGATTCTGCTCTTAGCCACTCTCTATCTTTGCTTATTATTGTTATCTCTCGAATTGTTTAAAATATCAAAATATAACATTGGACATGGTAAAATAATAATGAATCATTTAACAAGCATTTAAAAAAGAGAATAAACTATTCATTATGAGAGTATTTAATAAATAGATGTAAAATTAAAAAAAGGATTTTATTATTCATCTATTTGTCTTTTTCATATTGTATTTTTCAACAAAAATACACTTTAAATAGTAGTCAGTCAGTCAGCTAAAACGTAGGACCAGGCACATATACGCATCGTTTTCAAGTTGCCATACCTCATTAGCACAACAAGATGAACACCGGATTTAAATAGCAGTTGTTAGCTACGGTACAACCGTACCATTAATACAGATGTATTTTGTCTTATTAAATAATTATATATAAAGTACAAAGAATTGTTTAAATAATGTTTATATATTATAAATGATATTTACGAAATGATAGAATCTAATTGTAGAATAGTTTGTATAATGATGTACTTGTTTACTTTCTATGTTATTGTTTAATTATTGTTAAAGCTTAGTAATAAGTAATGGCTTCTTTGTTGTAATTCCTGTTTCTGTTGATGTTGTATGTTTTTTTTTTCTGATTAAAGGGATAGAATTCAATTTTAGAAAGAATCATACTTTTATGACTAATTTTCTTTTTCAGTTAACTTTTTGTATCATTCTTATCTGTCATGTTTTTGTAAATTGTAGTTTTGTCCTGCTCGATTCTCATATTTCAATACAAAATTTATACATTTCGAAATGATGGAGATTTGTAGCTCAGGTGGATGATTTTGATGGAGTTTTTTTCTCTGAGCCGGATGGTTTGGTCGTGGGGCTTTCATCGCTCTTCTGAACAACATCATCAACACAAAATTCAGGTGGAAGTGAAGTGTTCGAATTTCTTCATAAATGACTCACAGCCTGTTCTGCCTGATTGATTATTGTTGACCTACAATCCGTCATTGTTTACTTTTTTATGGGAGATAAAATCAAAATAAGGAAGTAAACAACGAGAGGTTTATGGTCAACAATAACCAATCAACATTGAGGTCTACAGGACAAGCTGTGAATCACATGTGGAGAAATTCGAACACTTTACTTCTACCTGAAGTTTGTGCTGATGATGTTGTTCAGAAGAACGACGAAAGCTCAACGATTAAACCATCCAACTCAGATAAGAAAACTATCAAAATTTATACATTGTATGCATATTGCAAGGTTATCTAACTATTTATTTAATAATATACTGTATTAGCTGGTGGAACATTCGGCGATCAATTAAAAGGTCTCATGTACCATTCCTTGTGCACTTATTCCGGTTTGAGAAGTCATGATGATTAAAATTCATTGTATGATGTTTCATCATTAGGATAAATGATATTAAAAATAATTGTCATCATTGGTTGACTGTTGCACCTATTTGAAATCGATAAATCATTAGAAAACCATCTCATCCTTCATTATTGTTTATCTAGGAGTTTGGTAGAACTTCATCCCTTGATCTTTAGTGCTTACAATGTACACTGAGGTGGAATTCATTAGTTCAGATTGCTTGACTACCATTCATTATAGTCAATGACATCTATATCATTCTCAATATAGTTTTACTGCGTTAATCAAATAATATCGTAATTCGGTTGGACTTCGAAATATACATTGGTGATGATCTAAAAGTATCCTGTTGTTCACGAGACGAAAAAGTTACTGATTCAATTTTATTTGGATTTGTAAGTATTGTTGGGGACGTTAGATCCTCAGAACTCACTTGGAAAAAGAATTAATTTTGTAATGTTGTTTGGAAAATTTGAAGTTCTTTGTTTTCGCGCCAAAAGCGCTCCATTCACCTTCATGTCGAATTTCCTACTTGCAAGAATCTTAAATGCCATTGATCCGTCGTATCTTTTAGTATGCTATTTGGTAACTCTCCCCAAGGACGGTTTTGTACTGTATATATACATTTTGATTTGTGTTTGTTGTCATCGCTCGTTTCTGGCTGTTTGCAGAATATACTTCCATATTCCAAGCTTGGACTTCTCCCTCTATATAGCAGGGTTGAGACGCATCGAATAGCTAGCTTGTTGGTCTTTGGTCACCGAGTCTTTGTTCCGTTCGCAGATTAAGTGAACTTGTAACCGCTTCAAACCTAGCAAGTATATACCTACCAAATCGCTTTAAAGTAAAACAATAAGTCTGTATACAGCGTTCCTTGGTTTCCGATGGTTCTACACGTAATATTAATTGATAAAGTTGTGGCCCAATAGTTAAGGCGTTCTATTTACAGTCAATGCTTTGCAACTTCGAACCCATCGCTTTCTACTTAAACCAGGTTGTATCACTTTCTCACACACTCAAAGTGTATCTTGAAGTATAATAATGGGCTAACAATAATTATTATAAAATTCATGACCAAGTTATCTTTTGAGAAAATTAAATAGTTACAAGTAACAATCACCTATCTAAATATAAAGATCTGTTTTATTTTCTCTATGAAAAATATTGATGTATTTACAGATGAATATGGAGGTACAATTACACCACATTGTATCATTACATCTAAAGATGATATCGATTTTATGTATCCAGCACCGTTACCTTATAATCTTTGTCAAGTGAGTACTCAATAAATTTTTTCATTGGTTGTCTAAACTATAATGTTTATTTATTCTGTTTACATCAATGTAGTGGATGTTTTTTTACAAAATAACATGGCTTATCTCACCTTGTGTAGAATAAAAGTTATTTAGAAATATATCAGTATTATTTTAGGATAAGAAGGATCTCTCGACTGATGATAAGTCGTTGAATTAACTTTCTGTTTAACCCCATATATATATATATATATATATATATATATATATATATATATATAATATTCATTGCAGTAAAACAGTTTGTGCTTAGTAGTAGCTGCTTGCGCTGCATGACTGTCGGTCAGTTAGCTGCAACGTAGGACCAGGCACATATATGCATCGATCCAAGTTGCCATACCTCATTAGCACAAGATAAACACCAAATGCATAGAAGCAGTTACCTTAATGGTAATGGTAAGGGCTCTAGGTTCGAATCCCGCGAGCGGGATCGTGAATGCGCACTGCTGAAAAGTCCAGCAATAGGGTGAAACGGCCGTCCAGTGCTTTAAGGTTTTCCATGGTGGTCTAGCTTCAATTGACTCATTATTCCAACTATTGAAATTACTAAAATTGATATATAAATGAGTGTATCTAGTCTTTGTGTCGTTGCTTAGTGTCGTGGGACTTAGAATAGTCCCCATTCCCAAGTAAAACTGGCAGGGCAGTAAATAACACAAAAAGCCATGATCACTGGAGTTCAATCTTGTCGATTTTGAGGCAGTTACCCACTGATGTCGTTGCTAGTTTGTCTTCGACAAGATCAAATCAACAGGATTTTCAAACTAGCATAGATTTACTTTACTGAAAGGCTGTCTATCATCTTCAGGTGACATAATGGGATATAGTGAATATTAGAAACAAAACTGATTACGTTAGGGTGAAAATTCCAAATAATACTGTAAGTAGAGAACATTAAACATCGAATAAACAGTATTACATAAGTCTCATATGAAATGATTATTTATTTACTGTCGGAAACTTCATATTTTGCTAAAATAAAAGTTTGCACCATAAGGTAATAATATTTGGAATTTCACTAGTTGATTGGAGTTCATACCGTTGATAAGCACTTTTAGCTCCTTATTAGTTCTCCAGAATTCTTCTACAATCGAACATTGAACAGAGGAGAAAATATATGAAGTATGATAAGGAGCTTTATTTCCATAGTTATTTTGGATAAAGAAAAGAAAACTATTTAATGCTTGTTAAATTACTTTGATATTCTGAAAACCTATGTGAACATGTTAAACGTACCAACAAAACCTGTAATTCTCTATGGAATTTCTATTGTTTAAAGTGCTTTCAACCTTCCGGCTTCCAAAGACCTTTCCTAGGAATTCTTGAGGTCCCTCAAAAAGTATTGTATGGTAGGACTGAATTATGTGTTTCATGTAAGGGGATCGTTTTTTTTTGTTTTTGGTTTACGGAAAAATTATGGTTGTGTTGTGTTAAATATAGTTTTCTTCTGTTATGATATCTAACTGATAGTTGTAGTACTTCTGTGATATTTAACTTATTTATTTAGTCACTGCCAATATTTATCGATCTCACTCCTATTGTTCTCATTTGTTAAAAATATATAGATTTGGACAGCATATTTTGACTTTTTACGTGCACGTTTTTTGGATAAAAGAAAGTCAAATCAGAATAGCTTCAAAGATAATAATAATAATGTCAACTATGTTAATCGTCCAATTGCTGACATTCAACATTCCAGTTTCAGTAAATCCAATACTTACATGTAAGTATCCTTACAAAGGTTTAACTTGATAATTTCAAATAAATTGAACATTTGGGTATATTGCTATAAATACTTACTTACTTACTTACTCCTATTACTCCCGCCGACCAGAATTCTTCAACCCACTCTGTCCTGGGCCTTATTTTCGAGTTCCATCCAATTTTTGTTCATTTTTCTCATGTCTGCCTCTATTTCTCTGTGTAATGTGTTCTTTGGTCTTCCTCTTTTTCTTTGGCCTTAAGAATTACATGTGAGTCGTTGCCTTGTGTCTTAGTTGGGTGCTTTCCTCAATGTGTGTCCTATCCACTTCCAGCGCTCCGCCTGGAGTCCCTCCGGGGGCTACTGCCGGTCCCAAGCCCGGATAAAGGAGGAGGGTTGGGGTTGGTGACCCCACCCCGTAGAAAACTAACTCTCTAAAAAACGTTAACCAGAAAAAAATGTTATAAATAGAAACAATATATTTGTAATATCTCAGTGAGTAGAAAAAATTAGATTTTCTGATGTTTCGTGACTTAGTGCAAGACATTTCTTCAGCGAATAAGTGATATACTTTTTTGACTACAAAACAGTGGGTTAGTTATTAAAAAAGTCAGTCTTGCATATCATGAATAGTTAAAATTGCTTACTTAAATAATTGAATATCCTATTTTCGAATTATGTGTAACTAGTACAAATATTTTTTTATATTATATAATCGTTTGAACTAAACAATTATAAATGTACTCGTGCTCTGTTTTTAAAGAAGTTCACAAATTGTTGTTAGGTTGAATACTAGAAAACAGAAACGGATACATGGCAACTAGTTGACATATCTTCCTTTTTTGAATTTTGAGTTGAGGAAAGATAAACATATTGGAATATATATCTGATATATGATGAATGGGGAAAAAACGTAGTTTTGACAACTGATGTATAAATACAGGGGTTTCGTGATTGAAGATATGGATAGTAGAAACTGACTGTTAAAAATATATATGAAATATATTTTTTTATATAATATATAGTTAAACTTGCTATATATTTGACAAAAGAATCCTTTCTTCTTCAACTTACCGTTCAGTAGTGTGTCAAATAATCTTTTATGGAAATAGGTTTGAATCACTTATTAACAAAATTCGGTACACAGCAAAGATCATTACCAAAGAAAGAACAAAATCTGTGCTTCAGTATAAACTTAAAAGGCATGGAAACAATTGCATCACATCCCACTGTGTTTACCACTTTAGATGTGTGTGCGGTCTGCATATCTACCTGAATGTTTATCAAAACAAATACAATCAAATAACTCAGTAAGAGTGAACGATGAACATCCATCATCCTTTATTGCTAAACATATAATTGAAGCAGGTCAAAAGATTGATCTTTACTCGACTTTTATTGATTTTTATCAGAAGGGGTTTTGATTTGTACAAAAGTGTTCATTGGTGATTACTCAGATATATTGAAGTCTTGGTCATACGAAAATTCAAACCTCTTTTATGTATTCAAAAATATTTTGTTCTCACCTTTACAAGTATTTATGTGATCGAATTGTTTGAAATGTATTGCACTATTATATCACATAGTTCTGATAGTCTTCATCTTCTTATTAAACTATCCTAATATAATTACAATTTGAATGCATTTCAACAGCAGATATTCGTTTCAGTATTCCACAATCAGTTCTGATAATAATCTATTTCTATAATAAGATTTATAATATTGAATGAAACTAATATTATTCCAACTGATGAGCTATAGGTTCATACTCCCCGCTTTAGATGAACTTACATAAACAAACAGTGAAGGTTAAAGCTAAGTGTATAACAGTAATATTGCATTTGTGACTCCTATTATTATTATTATCGTACTATGACGGCTATTCTAAATAGCATTTGTTATTCCTTTTTTTACATTATGCTTATTCAGATCTGCAAAACATTTATCAGCCTATGATGAACGTACCACTGAAAAGGAGAGTAAGTTATTTTTTCCACTTTCTGTTTTTTAGTTTAACGTCTTTGTGTAGAGATTATAGAATTATCACAGTTTAAATCATGAACTGATCTTAACAAGACTATCATTGAAAATCTGCAAATACTGGGCAGGAGTTTTATCCTTGTATAGGACTTCTCAGTAGTGAATTACCATAACTCTATCGGCTCTGTAGTTTATAGGTTAAGGGTTCGCACACAAGACCGACGATTCTGGGTTTGACTCCCTGTATAGTCACTAAGTTATGTTTAAGAAATTTTTCACATCTTTTTCAACTGACTTCAACTGAATATTGGGAAGTGGAATCCCTAATATTAGTGTATCTACATGTTAATTTTCTTTCGATCTTTCTTCTTTCATTTAATATAATCAATTTATTTAACGGACATATGAACAGTGTATACAATTACTTACTTACACCTGTCACTCCCGATGAAGTATAGGCCGTCGACCAGCATTCTTCAACCCACTCTGTCCTGGACCTTATTTCCTAGTTCCATCCAATTTTTGTTCATTTTTCTCATGTCTGCCTCTATTTCTCTGTGTAATGTGTTCTTTGGTCTTCCTCTTTTTCTTTGGCCTTAAGAATTACATGTGAGTCGTTGCCTTGTGTCTTAGTTGGGTGCTTTCCTCAATGTGTGTCCTATCCACTTCCAGCGCTTCTTCCTGATGCGAAGGATTCAATTACAAATCCCTACTTATTATCCAGTTATTCTAATTGTATACCGGATTAATGAAATATGTAGATCAATATCTAAGTATATATTGTTGGGGGTTTAATCAGTGTTATCAATGATAGAGAGAATATCAATTGGAGGTTTATATTGTAACTTTAAAACACTGATTCACTTGTTGTGAAGTGTTTAATTTTAAACTATTCATTTACAGATTTGACCATCAGTTTACTTAAGTTTGGAAAGTAATATCACTGATGCTTGCACCATGAACACTGTAGTGCTAAAGTGAAAGCGTCATTTCTTTTTGACTCAGTAAATGTGTTCCATTCTAGAGTGCATAAATAGTTTTCATGATTTATGTACACTAAGATGAGCGGGGTTATCTTTTTACTTACATTTGAATATAAAAATCTAAACTGTCTCATTCACCATGTACTTGGATATGAACATTAATAATACTACTCGGTTTTTTCAAACTAAATAAATTGAAAGCAATTAGTCCCCTTGATAAATTTCCATAATGTAATAAGAAGACGAAAATGATCAGAACTATATGATGATATATTAGCGCAACACATTTCGAACAATCTGATCACACATATGCTTGTTAGAACAAAACTCCACCAAAATCATCCACCTGAGCTACAAATCTCCACCATCTCAAAAAAATAAAAGGTCAACTAGACTAGAAATGGAGGGTAAGAAGAGACATGGATAATAATAAGAGTAATAATAATAATGTGAACACAATTTGAAACCTAATCACTCTGGATAATAGGCTAATATTACCAGGGTAGGTTTTAGGTAAGAACAAACTGTTTTTGAATACACAAAGGGGGTTTGAATTTCCGTATAAAAACGGATTCAACAAACCTTAGTATGCGCCTTTTTGCACTTTTGTACAACACCACAAAAGCCGAGTTAGGATCAATCTTATGGCCTGTTTCGATCATATGTTTAGCAATAGAGGATTATGAATGTTTATCCTCTGCTCTTATTGGGTCACTTGATTGTATTTGTTTCTGCAACCATTTTGGTACATGTTACACACCCTAATTTTGAGATCACGATTGCTCCTTTATATGTATGTGTGACCACACACACATTTAAATTGGTGAACACAGTGGGATGTGACACAATCGTTTTCATGTCTCTTAGGATTTGGATGAAGTATGCACCTTGTTTCTTTGCTGCGCAATATATTTTATTGATGACTGATTTAAGTCTTTGTTTCAATAAAAGTCTATTAGAATCACGTCTAAATGGTAAAATGATATAGACATGCTTTATTTCTATCAAGGTTACAGTAGGTCTGATTGTACCATGAACTTTCCATTTATTTATGAATTTCAAAGGACAGTCATTTTCTATCAATATTTTATTTCACAACGTCATTTGTACAAATACGATCAAGCTTGTTGAATGAATTGAAGCGGGTTTCGAACTCAAAACTCAATGAGTAAAAGTTAAATTCTTTAACCAATAATTCATTGCTTCAACATTTTAATTCATTATCTTGTTGATTCCTTAAGAATTAATTTCACATTGAGATTAAAATGAAAAATTCATTATTATTATTATTATTATTATTATTATTATTATTATTATTAATATTTGAAAGTTTAATTAACTTTTCATAAATCAACTTCATTTTTAAGTGGTTAATAAACATGTATTAATGATTTATAAGTAGTCTTATTACTACAGTTCATATGTGTAGTGTAATGTAGCGTAGTGTATGTGTGTGCCCTTGTGATTTTAGTTTAGTTTACGTGTAAATCTGTCCTAGTTTTTGAAATTCCAATTGTTTTTTTTCGTTTTTAAAATAATTCACTGTATTTTCTTTTCTTTTTCTTAAACACAAATTCATGTTTGTTACTTAGTGTTTATATATGTAAATCTCTAGAATAAGAAATAAGAAGAATTAGTGAGTTTCTCTCTCGCGCGCTTTTTCTCCTCTACGTTGTTTTCTTTCTTTCTCTTGTTTTTTACTCCTCTCTCTCTCGATCTATCTATCTATTACTGAAATGTATACAGAAGTGCATAAATTTAATTACATTTAAAATCTCTTTTTATATATTTTCCATCATTCAATATTCACAATATTTGTACATGGGTTTCTTTTTTTCAATTTCTTTTATTCACGTTTATATTACAACAAATATACTTCTCTACATTATACTATTTGATGTTAGACAGATTTATTTTCTTTTTTAAGAAAAAAAACAACACAAGAAATTACCCGCGCTTTATACGGTAAAGCGCTTCATTTATTTTCTACTTGAAATACTTTGTTGTGATCCTTTCTCCCTCTCTTTTTTTCCGTTTCATTTTAATGAATTTATCAATGCTTCACTTTCCGTATGTTGTTGACTTTATTTTATGAAAATATGGTAAATGGCCTAATGTCTTAGATTATCAGAATACAGATTGCTAAAGAATTCCTAAACGAAAATAAGAAATTTTAACAGTTGAGATCATGAATCAATTGAAGCTAGACCACCATGGAAAACCTGGAAGCACTGGACGGCCGTTTCGTCCTATTGTGGGACTTCTCAGCATTGCACATCCATGACCCTGCCTAGCGGTATTCGGACCCAGGACCGATCAGTTTCGCGCCAGGTGCTTAACCAACTAGAAAATAAGAAAGATGCTCCATGTTTTGTTTAGTTTTCAGTACATTAATTAAAAAATTAGTCCATGATGTGTAAAATATCCTGAAGAGTATGTGAAACGAGGATACACACAAAAAAACATAAATCAATCTCTACAAAATCACTTTAACTAAACATTAGTTGTTGGTTAACTAGCGACTTATTTCAAGGTATTCCTGAAGTTTTAATGATAAATGATGATGGATGGGGAGTGCATAATGAAATCGTTGTCACCAATGACATTGTATGATTTTCACTCTGTATCACAAATTGATCGAAATTAGCACTTTACCATTAGGTGCCAACTTATCAGTAATCCTAATATTTATAAGTTCTCCATGAATCTTGAAGTTTTTTTTGTTTCAACGCATAGTGTTGCTGTGCGTGTGCATTTCTAAGGAGTTCAACATGAAGAGAAAGTAGCTGTCCAGCGCTCTCTAGTTTTTAACGGTACTCTAACTAAGATCACTTTGTGACGAACAGGACCTGCAAACTTGGGTTTTTTTGGAGTGCTTGAAATCTACCGTTGCAATAACTCAGTAAAATTATGGTTCTCGTGATATTCAAAAATTGCGGACTTGATTGTTTGTGTAATAATAAATCTAGTGACTTTTGAGGAGTTTCAAATTGAGACAAAAAATCGTTCAATTCTTTATGTTATGAATTTCGTACTACATATGTGTTATAATTAAGTGATTTTATGAGAGTTTTAATTTCATTGTGCAATAAATTACTAATCCAGTCAATTTGTATAATATCACATTACGTTTCACACATATTACCTGAGTTCTTGAAATTACTGCTCATGTGAATAAAATACTTGTCTGCTTTGATTACATTCCACCACCTAGTCTCTTGTTTCTCTCATATTTCAGCCGATATTCCAAATCCAATGTGAAAACATCTACTTTCCACTCTATGGCTGTCTGTAGATTCTTATTCAAATCTCATTACTTATCATTGCTTTTCTGAATGAATCATTTGTGGGTGGTAGTTATACTACTTGTAATTACTTTTAAGGTATATGAATGATCGTAGTTTAAATCATATGTTGATCTTAGACTACCATGAAACACTTGGAAACTATGAATGGCCGTTTCGTTCTCAGAAGTGTTCATCCATGACTTCGCATTTAGGAACCGAACCCAAAACCTTCAGTCTCGTTCACGAGTACTTAATCTTTAGAGCACTGACCCGGCATCCAACGGCCTTAATATTTAGATTTGATCAGTTCACGATATTGCGCAACCCTCATCCATTTCCTGCAGTCTTATTTCTAACATGGTTGAACTGTATTAGTCGCAGTTTCTCACTAGAACTCCAGGAGTTGGATCTTGAAGTGTAGTCATTAGTGGACACATGATTATTATGTATGGATGAGTTATGAAGTTTGGTGAATATTTTTTCTGTTAGTAAAGTGAATGAATAGAATGAGATTGATAAATATATACGCCATGATATGGTGTAACTGAGTGCTGGTTGCTTACCAGACGAAATAATCATCATGGGTGATTGGATTGGTGTTCTCCGTGTTGTATTTGAGGACATTGGTTTTCCCCTTGTACATGTTGAGGCCTACTGATTCAGAGGCTGCTGCTACACTAGTTGACTTCATCTGCCATTGTTCGTGCGTATGGGGTGAGAGGACTAGGTCATCTGCAAAGTCCAAATCGTCTAATTGTTTCTGAGTTGTCCATTGTATTCCGTGCTTTTTCTCAGATGTCGAGGTCTTCATAATCCAGTCGACCGTCAGAAGAAAGAGGGAACCATTAAAACAACAATTTATATCACGGACTGATTTTAGTAAGACAAGCATCTGAAACCAGGAAACACCGGGAAACTTTTGTCCCAGTACGAATTAGGTGCTCACCGCAAAGCTTGGGTCTAACCCCCAGTGTGATTGTGGATACACATTATTGGTGAGCCATACACTAGAATGAAACAGCTGTCTAGTGTTTCTTGATTATCGATGATTGCCTCTCTAAGATCAATCATTGATTTATACTATGAAAACCCAACATTTCCCACAAACTCCAATGCTAAGATTAATCAGTTATTTAGAAAATTTCGATTAGAATGTTTGGACATCTCTACGCTTGTGAAATTAACTGTCCATTACTTTACTAAACAGTCACAGAAAAGGTGTCCACTTGTGATTAGTGATCAAATATGCTTCGGTTGAAGCTGTCGTACCACATTATCACGACTCGAAAAGTATTAAAGTAATCGAATTAACATGGTAGAGAACAAGCATAACGGCCGAATCGTGACTTATTCAAAGTCATATCTTAAAACGTCTACATTTTACTAGTGAATAATGATAAATTAAAAATACATTTTGTCAGTTAGCTCCAAAAATATTCATTCTCCTTTTCTCTCTTTCATATTACCATAATTATTCGAACTTTTTCTCACAAAAACTTCGGTATAATTGATATAGAATAAATGGAATTTGGCTATCAGTAGGATCCAAGATGAACATTTTGTCCTGTTTTAGAGCTCGTCTGCTGGATTTGCCTACATCCCATACTTGATGCTCACTCCAGAGCAACTACCGTTTGCTTTGAACGCCATCGCGTCATACACTTAACTGTTGAGTTTGGATAGCCACTCAACATGTCTTTGTGCCAACCTAGGCTGATCAGATTTCTGTCAAAAATATCAACAATGGGATTATCCAAACCATTTCAAATCAAAATATTATCCTTTCGTTTGATTCTATCATTGTTATTCATATAAGCTAAACATTAGATTTAGATCTATATCTCTCTAGTCAAGAGGGTGAAACTAATTTAATTTATCAGATCTACTCTAATATATATATATATATATATATATATATATATATACTTAGTTCCTCCTTGAGTCTGTTTTCATCTCTTTTACTCTTCTAAACAAAATCTACTTAAAAATGCGGCTTGCTAATTTTTTTTTAAGTAAAACAATGATATGACTACAATCATTTTCTTCAGTCAATCATTTATCTCCACACCCCCTCATTATTTATCTCGATTTTCAACACGATTGCTATGGTTAGTGGTAATCTCACTATTGATCATAATAAATGTCTGATTTAAATGTGTAGATTAGGGTAAGTGATCTTAATACTCTACTTTTCATTTTCTATTCTATTCTCCTCACAGACACTTACTATGATTGTATTTTGTTCTCATCTAATCCACCATTGTTTATTTTCATCCTGATTTTTCAATGTGATCATATAACTTATAATGGATGATGATAAACAATTAGATATATTTGCTAATATTTAACTTTAAACCGAGTGCTTTGGTTGTAATCACTGCTTGGGGACATGGATCAAAATCAGTCCCAAAGATGTAGATGGATTCACTCTGTCTTCGAAATTATTCCATCTTGTTTTATTTATTTTGGTAATTTATTCTTTTTGATCGAATCATAGTAACTCTATCTGATCTTTTCGACTGTTACTGCTTTTATTACTCTGACAATCTTCTTGGTAATTTCATTTCGCTTTTCTAATTTGGTGTAGCAACTTGAATCGATCTGTACATATACTGGGTTCTACATTATACATGACTGACTGATCGAGTTAAACATTTATTTGTATCCAATACTTATAAGGGTGATTCACATATTGTAGAACAAAATTTTCAGCAAATAACACTGATCCCAATAAATGATGGTGGTCACCGACTGAAGTTGGTTCCAACTACGTATTCTAAGTAGAACACATTAGACCTGGAAGTCCTGTTGTGCGTACTGATAAAAAGTCAAAAATTATAAAACATTCACTAATTTAGATAGAATAGGTGAAATATGAGTAGCGATGGAATCTAGAACTCATGTTCCATCCTGCTTTTGACTCCTTAGCTGGATTTACCTGTATCCCAGAGTTGATATTCGATTCGGAACTCAAACTCATTACCTTTTGTTTTAAACATCAAAACGTTATTCAATTAGCTACTGAATTCAGTTAACACTAACTCTAGGATACAGGTAAATCCGACTGACGAATTTCAAGTAGATGGTGAGACCTTTATCCTAAATTCCACTGCCGACCATATTTCATCTATTTATATAGACTTATGTAATAATACACGTCGAAGCAATATACTCGGAATACAAACCAATGATAACTACTACTGGCCTCATTGCAATTGTATGGCGCATATGTATTTGATGCCCCCTTGTACCAATGTCTATGTGTTAAAACAAACAAAAGTATGAAATAAGAAATAAATGTACCTTCAGTACTCTGACCAATCTCATGAACTGTTACTTAGCGTTGATTTTCTTATTGTACTCTTCATTCACCCTGCACCTGTACTAGTCAGCTTAATAGAAAAAGGCTGAATATACATCATACATATCTCATTCGTTTAAATGTTTTAAAGTTTGTAGATATTTAAATCTATTAATTACCTTTCATATCTAATACATTCCTCGTACTTTAGAACAAGATGATTATGTATCCATCACTGTAGAAATTTCTGTTTGGTCATGCAAAAGCTTTTTTTATATTATATGTATATATTTCTTTCTATTATATTTCAGATATTTCAGACGATCGTTTACCAATGACACTTCCTTCAACATCTGTTAGCACTAATCATATTTCCCAACTTCAATTCAATGATAAAACTACATCAGAATATAATCCATCCAGCAGTAATAATCACACATCAACTTTACCAAATTCAGTAACATTAGAAACAGACCAACATAATCAGTCTAGAAATAATGATAACAATAATAATAGTTTATTACAAACATCTGAGAAGTCAAGGAAAGCTTTAGAAAATTTATTAGAAGCTGTTAGACATGCAATGTTCTCTTACTCCATTCAATCATCATCATCGTCATCATCAGCTCCCCATTTGTCATCAATGCCATCATTGTCATCAACATTTTGGCATCAAAATCAAAATATTACTACTACTACCACTACTAGTAATAATAATAACAACAATAGTAATAGTAATACTAATAATAATCCTACTAATAACAGTAGTGATGATCAAAAGTTGTTCAGTGTACAAATGAATAACTTCAATGTATTAACCAATTATAAACAGATGATACCAAAACGTGTCGGTAAGATCATATCTAATCTACTTTGATTATGGTGGTAATAATAATAGTAATATTTTATTTATTTAAGCACACTAACATAGGTACAAGAAGGCACTAAAGATACACAAATCGAATGATTTGTGTAAGGGCTGGAATACTACTCGAGCGCTCAAATCGAAGCTCGCGGTTTTATTAGGGGGTTACATCTGCAACCTTTGACCTGAAGGTCTAATCCACAAGGCAGTGGAGCGACGTTAGGAGATACAGTCCCATGGTAGCTGGTGACTAACAATGTGTTCATACACCATTTGTTCCTTCAGGATCCTGAAGCCCATGTGCACCATTGGTCTAGAACCAGGATTTTCCATCTTCCCTAGGTGGACTCTCTATGTCCACCAACCCAGTTAAAATGTCGGACATTCGCTTTTCGTCCTCTCAATTTCATAAACAACACCCCCACCACGAGAAGGCGGTGAGTAGGACTTCCCTTTCAGTGGCTGTATATGCGTGAGAGGAAGAGCGGACTCTCCCCATGTTTACATATTCAGTTATTGCTAGCGTCATTCCTGTTTGCCTATTCTTTTCTTTTGAATATTTTAGTAAGATTTCCCGCTCCATTCCCCTTCAACGCTTTTTTTCTCGTCGATTATTAACTGATTTCTATCTTTCTTTCCCTCTTGTTCTTCTCACTAAGAAATCTGTTATTCATATTTGTTTTTTTAGTTGTTTAAAATGTCGAATTGTAATCTTTGATGAGACCATATCACATGTAATACAATGTACTATCTACTTGTCTTTTTATATCGATCTATGTTTTTTAACGTAACATCAATAAGCAATAAGCGTTAGGACCTTTTATATATATGTATTAGTTCAGTTTTCTAAACCTTACACATCAGAATATCTGCAACCGTAGTTAACAAGATGATGAGAATTCATTTCAACTATTATACAAGCATAAATAAGTGAAATATGGTTCAATAGGAAAAGTTGAACAATGGATGTCTTTCCTTATTATGTAACTCATCAGCAGTATGCATCCACTGCTTCATCTGGGATTAAATGCAATTGCGTAACCTTTAGACTGCTAAGTTGGTATCCAATAGTTTATATTCCTTACTTTGGTCAATATTACTCAACCCAAGATATATGGTAAGATGGAGAATAAATGCAACTACGTCAGTGTTATCGATTTTGTCCTATGTTATCAGACGCTTCCAACTGTTGGAGAACAATACGAATATTTTACGAATTCCAAACAAGATATCTGCACTTGTTTTTTTTCAAATTTACTTCTTTTTCAAGCATCAGTCGATGTCAAAGTAGGCGATAATTAGTAATTCAGGTTATATTTTAAAATTACGTTAATTTCTGCAAAAGACAGTGAGTACTGTATTGTCAGTCAGTTGATCCATTTTATTACAACTAATAAAGTCCTAATTGGTCGCTTGCATATAAATCAACAGCATTTTTATTCTGTATTCAGTCAGTCAGGATGGATCTAAAATATCTTCTTTAACATGGGAAAAAATACATTTAAATTAATGAGCTATTCTTATTTTATGTTGGAAATTGATTCAGACATAGTGACTGTACGAGGTCGTGTTTTCTGGTAAAGAGATACCGGAAGTAATCTGTTCCATGTATCTGCATCATATATTATTTAAAGTTATAAGTACTGATGTTAGATGTTTAGCACTAGTAGGCAGAAAATCATCTTTAAACGAGGTTTTATACTAGTTGGTGCCCATCAACAAAATATACCTACAGTTTACAAAAACACTAAAACTCAATTTAATCAAATTTGAAGTTATTGAATATTCATCTGATTCATATTGATAGATGTAGACTATTTAGTTTGCTTCCATGTAATGACTGAATACTTGACATGATATGTCGGCTATAATGACAAAGATAAGTTTACTCTTTATCTTATTTTTTGAACCATATAATCAATGTTTAATCTTTCTCGTCATTGTTAATTCCTATATTATTATTATTATTTCGAATTCTTTGATCATAACTGACTGAAATCATATTTCCACTAGACATAGTTATTCATTGTATCTTGTTCTAGCAAACTTTTAAATATAATCAAACAAACAAACACAATTACCAATTGTTATCATTCTACGGTTGTTGTTTTTTTTCTCCCCTCTCTCTCTCTCTCTACCACATACACCTTCCTTACCTGTTGTATTGTATGTCGTAAAATTGTGGCATTTTTATTTAACTTAATAATAAAATACCTCTTTTTTCTACAGTCACTGTTGTTCTCGTATTATTATTATTATTTGCTGTTGTTGTTATTATTTTCTCTCTGTTCACTCCACTGTCTTTGTTAATCAAATGTCCAGACAATTTCCTCTTTTCTTTTTTTCCTTTTTTTCTCTTCTTCTGATGAGAACAAATTCACTTTACTACTAGTCGTAGTTTGTTTGTTTGAATTTTTATTTAATTTTAGAGATTCCATTTTGAAAATGGAGAAAAGCAAACCATCTTATTCATTATTTCTCATTTATTTATCTATTGCTTTTGCCATCATTCTCTCTTGTCTTGTTTTTCTTTTCTTTCTTTTTCCATCTAACTGAATCACAGTGTTTTCTCTTTAAATTCATTTATGTTGGTGGTTTTATTATTTATTTGTATGAATTTGAATCTATCTGTTATTAATGTTATTGAGAGGATGGAGAAGATTTATAGCTCAGGTGGATGATTTTGATGAGGTTTTATTCTTTGAGTTGGATGACTTGATTGTGGAGGTTTCATAGTTCTTCTGAACATCATCAACACAAACTTCAACGTGAAGTGTTCGAATTTCCTCACATATGTTTTATAGTTTGTTAAACTAATGAAAGATATAACCAAAAACAACGAAGTAAACAATAACAGGTTTAAGGTCAACAATAAGTAATCAACATCGGGATCTACAAGACAAGCTGTAAGCTATATGTAGAAAAGTCCGAACACTCCATTTCTACCTGAAGTTTGTGCTGATGATGTGCAGCGGAACGATGAAAGCTCTACGACCAAACCGTCCAGCTCAGAGAAAAAAAACTCCATCAAAAGTTGTTGATGTTAAAATATTAAATTTTAATGATTAATTCATTCTGTTTGTATGTGTGTCCAAGTTATATACAAGTGACAATTCTCAAATAGGACAGAAAGCGTGTTCTGAATTCGACTACTAGCCATTATTCAACTTTGCTTCAAAACTTTTGACTTAATGATTATATTAAGTGAATTCTCCTAGGATGCACATATGTGAATAGAAATTGATCAAAATTCACTCCTTAATGTAAACAGTAGAAACATTCTGCACTGCACAAATTGGTGGATACCGGAACTTTTTATTTCAATAGACAACGAGTTAGGTGTTTAAAGAGAAATTTCCTGGCTTCTAATTGTGAGATGTACATCAACACTGGAAAACAGATACATCCAACTGATAAATCGCAAAGGAGAACTTTCTGTGTCAATCAGTCATTTATAGACAACGTAGAAGTTCGAGTGGATGTTCATCCATCCAAGTTTTCATAACTCAAAACAGCGAATCCAGAGAGGATATCTATTATATGACATTCCAAAGGCGAAAGAATATTAATTCTAATGGGATGCTCAAGATCTTTAATTGGACTCCTCAGCAGTGCTCATCCACGACCCCGCCTCGCGGGATTCGAATTGTTAGATATATCGTTAAATTGAAGAGGAAAACAGCAAATGTGCTTGTGAAAATAGAGTATCGAAATAACATATTAAAACCCTACTAAGCTATTCAGAAAATATACACAGTAAAAACGAAGAGCATAGATTACAAACAAATGAATCTGAAGAAGAACTTCAATGATGATAGAATATTCGAAGAAAATCACTCACGGAGCAGTTCGTCAGAACACAATGATTCAATTCTTTTTTTGGATAACTAATCAGCTCGTTTTGGCAACAAGTAAACATTGATGACATTGTCTAGAACATCAATGAAGGTTTTTAGTGAACCTATCGAATTCAATGAATTCAACTCTTCTAGAATTTCATTCAATATTAACTTCTAATCAACATTTATATTAGAATCAATAATCATCATATGGTTAATTAACTACTTTTCATTTACATTTAATTACACTGTAATAATAATAATATCTATATGATTGAATGTTTTTATATTAATGTTACAGTGATAATGAACAATAATGCCAAATTTACATTTTTTTAAAAAGACACATACATTTAGGTTTTCTAGACCAGATTCATTCCCTTATTAGACAGTGACTTTTTTTAACGAATACTGACTAATTGTTACTACTTATATAATTTTATATATATATATATATATATATATATATATATATATATATTATTGAATAGTAACAGATGTAATACTATTCTATGTTCATTAATCAGTAAACCTTATCAGTTATATTTATGTTATAAAACAAGACAATAGGCAGGAGGTATGTATATTTGTTATGAGAAGTTACAAAGTATTTACATAATACATATACACAACTTTTAATCGTCCATTTCAATATTCCAGTGTGTTTTACAATCTGAATCATCTTCCCGATTGGTTTCCAAGTGTTCTATCAACGATGTGCTTTAGGTGCACTGGAATCAACTCTTCACTCTATTTGACAATTGTTGCAAGTTTGACACTACGTTTCTATACATACTGTTTGTGTGAGTAGCATCCACTATAATATTATATCACAGATATGTAAAAGTGAACGATGAAAGGTAAACTAGAGTTATACAAAAACCATATAAGATGGATAGTGGCTAGCAATGGAATCCAGGACGCTCGTTTCGTCCTATTTGGTACTCGCCAGCTGGATGTACCTGCATCTCAGATTTGATTTTCACTCCTAGATTCCATTGCTAGCCACTATTCATCGTTGCTTTAAAAAAAAGCAATCCGTACAGGATGCACGTATGCCAACATAAGACTGATCAATTGCAGTCCTAAATAACAATGGGAAGATACAAGTAAAACAACACTAAGTGAACATAAGTTTTCATTATGATAATAACATTTTGATTTTCATCATCAAACATTGATTTCATTTAGAGTAAAATAAAAAACCAGAGAATGCAGTATAGATAGCTATTTCATTTAAGTTAGTGGTCTTCTCAGTACATCTACTACAAAGTCCACTTGAACGTTATTAGCAATATTCATATTGTTAAGTTTGAAGAGATTACGTTATCACCTAAAACCGGAGAATGGAACAAAGGTCAGCAACACAATAACAAGACAAACTAAGCTATTCCACTACACCCCTGTCCTGCTGTCTAGAGGAAGAATATATATATATACAAAAATGTACATTCCACAAGCAATATGAAACATGATCGAACGAGTATACAACTCATGTTTATATTCAGTACATAAATGTCCTTAGAAAACTTCACAAAATGGCTCACTAAAAGGGGAAACAAAGCAATGACATTTAAGGTCTTTTCAGTTGGAAATACAAACTAAGGGTAAACGTTGGGGCAAAAATGAGGAATTCGAATTTTCAGAATGAAATTACAAAAATAGGACGTTTACCAAGTGATTTCTAGTGATCTAGCATCCCCAACACATGAGGATCCATGTTCTCGAAGTACTAAACATCTTTTCCCTCATTCTATTTACGCTGTTTTTTATCCTCAAATTGTTAATTTATTACTGTTTCTTATTTATATAACACCAAATAGTTTCACAACCGTTATTTCTCGTATCAACATTAAAAATTACCATTATTCTACACAAATTATAACAAAAAAGTTCGATAAACTGATGTCTATTCTGTAATCAGTATTCACTTTATTATTATTAACTTTATTCAATACTTTTGGTACAATATAGAATTCGCAACACAAATTATTTCAGCAAGTTTCCTTTTCTTACTTCTTGGCCGATCCTGACGATAAATATTGAGTGATCGTCAGTTAAATGTTAGCAGTTCAGTAAATCGACATCCAAATAATGTTCATTCTTTCCGCTGCATATTGCCAGCCATCACAATATCTCTGATTGTAGTTTTTCTTAACTTTTACAGTGAAAGGTCATAAATGTGCCTGAATAGGTTATGCGATTAGTAGTCATAATGATATGTTAAAACAAACAAACAAGAAAACGGATAACTTGTTGAAATATCTAGATGGTAACAACAGGTAGATCAGATATTCAAGCAAACCACCAATAATAGTTTGTTTATTTTTTAAGCTTATAATTAATTAAATTTCTAATTGATACATTCTTTGCTTACTTCTCTTCAAATTTCAATTTGTATTTTTAAACTATGAAACTATTTGAATCCACTTGGTGTTGTTCTACTTGTATCTTCCCATTGTTATTTAGGACTGCAATTGATCAGTCTTATGTTGGCATATGTACATCCTGTACAGATTACCTCGATATAGCCTCAAGTCACAAGCTTTTTAAGTAATGATGGATAGTGGCTAGCAGTTTAATCCAGGAGTGAACATCAACTCTGGGTTGCATGTACATCCAGCTGACGAGTACCAAATAGGACGAAATGCGCGTCCTGGATTCCGCTACTAGTTACTATCCATCTTCGCTCATGAAACTATTTATTACCTCTACATAACAATATAGGAAGTTGCTCGTGTGTGTGTGTATGTGTCGGTTCATAATATTCTAAATTTGTTCAAATCTTGATTAATTTTAGTTTTTAAGTTCAATTTCTTTTTTTCTTCATGGAAACTTTACATTTTAATGAAAGGTATTAAATATCACTGATTCATATGATACTAACTGATTGAAAAACACTGTTATAATCGAAAAGAAACCTGCCATTTTTGGGATTATATTGTTTATTTTTCAGTATATTTGTTCGTAAATTTCCCTATTTGTAAGCTTATATATTTAGCGTATAAACCATTGGTGAATGCTTTTATCTTTCTTGAGTTATTGTTTAGTAATTATGAACTGATTACCTAGTTTCCTTTCATTTATATTCGGTTTATATGATCTATGATCAATAAATCACTTTATATTATTATATAAATTATTTGACTGAACAAATTCACAATAGAGAAAATATCTTTCTAACTTCACTAATAAGCGTTATATTGTCTGTCAATTCTGGCCACTGTATCATTCAGTCAGTCAGTTACAACGTAGAACTTCGTGTGGACGTATATCAGTTCAAGTTGGCGTACCATATTAGTACACACATACAACTGACGATTCAAATCCTATATTGGTAGAGGTATTACGAGTATAAGCAGTAATCGGAAACATTAGGGTTTGAAGATATTATTCAAGGAGTATAATCCAGTGAAAAAAATTTGGAAAGAGAAAAAAAGGATATGAAGAACTCAGAAGATTAGAATTTGGGAGAATACAAAGAGTGGATACAACTGCGCCATTGTAAACGATTATGAGCCATGTCATTCGAGGTCTCTAACCATCGGTTGCTATCGTCTCACGGATCCCAACCACGTAGTCTACACCTACCGACATGGCTCAGTTCATTTGTCAGTCACTTCATGGATTTGTGCCATGTTTTGGTATGACCGCCCCTAGCTTTCATCCAACCTACACTATCCTACACCATAAAACATCTCACGTCGAGGCAGTCGGTGGTTGGGCATACGTAACACATGTCTCAGATCATTAATAAATCAGAAAGTTGTCGATCCTACGAACGAAATAAGTAGTAAGTAGTCATACTTCTATAGTTATTAACCTGATCACATGTGGACAAAATAAAAGATTTCATCTTTTTGAAATATTTAACAAATACTTTGGATGATAAAATATATTGTTTTAGGTAACTTATATATATATATATATATATATATATATATATATATATATATATATATATATATACTCTTAATTGCATTATAACTTTTAGTTTCATGTACGCATTGTATCGCTGATTTATTTTCAGATGCCCTGCGGAATATGTTACGACTCATCGGTAATTACCTTATATCTCCCTACTTTCCCCATCCTATTTCACCCCAGAGGTTTCCCCTTGTTTTGTTTTTCTTGTTGTTAGATTAGATGTGATTATTTTCTTGTCCTACTGCATATTTTTACTGTTCAGTTTATTTATTTATTCATTTCATAAATGTTCATTTTTGTTTTATATCTAACTATCCAGTGTTGTATACAATATTAGTGTTATTAGTTTAGTAGTGATTAGTTTACATATATTCGTACATATATATGTATATGTATGTGTATGTTTCAATGTTTGTCTATGAATGCAATCTATTGAATTGATTATGTAACCATTTCAAATTATTACCAACTTGTTTTTTATGTATATGTATGTTTACATGATTTTCGTTAGCTTTTTATTTGCATCTGTTGATATGCTGGTCTAATTATTTCATCCTCCTCCTCTTGTGAGTGTTCTATTATTGTCAGTTAATTTAAGTTTATTTGTGTTAGAGAACGTCTATTGTTTGTGTTGAATAATAGTAATAATAATTATTATTATTACTGAAGTGTAAATGTTAGTCAAATTCTTATTGACAGACAACATATTGGTAATATTGTCAGAATGAAAATGCTTTTAGTTATAACATTTTCGGAATTATAGATGAAATTATTTCTGACATGTTAGACGCTACCATTATTATTATTATTGTCACTATAGATTCCTGATATTTATTTGCGATTCGTTACATGTTCATCAAGCACTGTGAATATGTTTTATTCTAAGCAAATACGGATAGTGGCTAGCAGTGGAATCCTAGGCGCACATTTCGTCCTATTTGGAACTCGTTTTTCGCGATCAATATTATACCATATCTAATAGTTTACGCTTTATGACTTCAATGAATTAATTAGTTTTATAATTCATTCTATCAATTGATTTCACAATATTTCACTAAAACTATATGAAGGTCATCTCGAAGCAATTCCGTGTTGAACACACAATTTTCTTTAGCATTATTTGATTTCGTACAAGTAACTTGTTATTCTTATTGTTCTATGATTAAAACATCCGGATTCAGTGGCTTTAGTGGATTGATACCATTATCTTGTTCTGATCACTCATAGCCTTTTCATTTACTTGTGAGTATAGAATGTAAGTGTAGGTAATGAATGATCATGGATAAAAAAATCGATCATAATGAGACAATTGAATTTCGAAATCTGAGTATTACACGTTCCTGAATCATTCAATCATTGAAATTTTTTCCCTTTCATCTATCACTAATTCAAGATGTCATATATTTTCAAGTTATACTATGATTTTCTTCTATTTAAAATTGTATTCACTAGTTACTACTTAATAACCACTGATTGTAATTATTTCAGCCCTACGAAAGACCAATCACAGTCTGAATAGCTCTGTATTTTCATCGCTAACTGCAACACTGAATGATTCAAGTTCCGATAGCAGCTTCATTTCCCTCAAGATTGCAAATTCGCTTTATTGATGTATAACAACTAACATGAAATCTAGCTCAAATTAGGTTTCTTGACAGTTGTCTTCCATTCATTTAAACATATCGGATCTCACATACAATAACTGATTTCATCTTACATTCACCTCCAATCGATAGCACTGCAAATTAGTCGATAGAGCTTTATCAACACTAATGAATTAGATACATATGCGTTCGGTTACTATTCAGTGATCAATCAGCCGTAAATATCACAATTCTGTAATTAATTAATGGAGGTTTGAGTAGTTCGTTAGTAACATTTTAGACTTCAAAGCTGGATGATACAGGATCGAATTCATCAAAGAGCATTAATTCCCTGAAAATTGCATGTACGCATTGATAATGAGTGCTGACTGCCATGAAACATAGACTCTTACTAGTTACATCTATCCATCTAAAATCTTAGCATAGAGAACACAATATTAAGTCCCTTAAATTGGTGACTATGTAAGTTATTCTTGTTAATAAAATTGCTGTTACACCTAGGATTAGTATTCAATTGTAATTATCATCTAGTTTAAATTTAATCCATTTTTGAAAGAAAATAAACAATGACTATTATTCAGACGTTGCAACTTTAATACGTTCTTAATGTTCAATAAGACGTGTTCTTTTTTTGCGTTGTGTACTCATTGATTTCATAGTTATTTTTATGTTCCTCATTCTTATCCCCCTCTACCACCAGAGATCCGCGTTTCCTTTTCCTTCCTTAGATATTTCAGTGTACTATATGTGCATAAATTGAATGTTGTAATTTAGTTACTAAATGTATGTGAATGTTTTCTTTTCTTTTATTTAATCTCATGCAGTTTTGAAGTATTTTATTTGGCATTTCTTTTTACCAAAAATAAATGTTGTATACTTATTTTTTTACTTGGGTTAGTAAAACAAACTTTAACCCTTATTTTGATTGCGTATGCTTGTGTTTGTGTGTGTGTGTGTTTAGACGTTGATTTTTCATTTATTTTTATACATTTTAGGTGTTGACTGGAAGTCATTGATAGTTCCGGCATGTTTACCAGTGGATACAGATTATTTTCCAGATACTTGTCGTCTTCGTAGTGAATGGTACACATTACATGATTATCGTGTTGTACCAAGTGGTATGTCACCAGATGAATGGGCTTCTATGAATAACGCGTAAGTTTGTGTATATCTCATTTTAATGTATTAAAAAGCTGTTCATGTAATGTTGAATTGTGACTAATACTGAAATTGAGGGTTTTCATTTTGTCTTATTTTTAACTTGTCAGTGCTCGAATCTTAGTACTGGTGCTTACACTGAAATCCGAATTCAGTACTTATCTTTCTAAACTTCACCTCGTCTATATATCCACTAGCGTATTTTACTGGTACAACGCTTATTATTAGTATTCATGAGATGCAGTCACATCCGGCTGATAAATTCAAAATTGCATGAAACTCCTCTCCTGTATTCCATTGCTAATCATAATTCAAATAGATTATTTGTAATACTGTTTCATATTATTTTATTTTTATCTCCTTAAATTCCATTGTCTCCGTCTCTATGTTGATAATGAAGTGTATTAAATAATTGAACACAATCAGTTCCATGAAACCAATGTGTTATGATTGTGAAAATTAATTTTCATCTAATGAATATTAATGCAATTTGAAGATGACCTTTCGTCACCAACTGATATTAGTTGTGGCATTAGTAAACAGTAGGGTAGCTGCTTCATCTTAGGTTGGGATTTCCTAGCTATACTCACTAATTTTCCTATTTAAAAAAATGGACCAGGGATCTCAATGCTTTACGGTATATACAATACTTTTGACCACTGATTCAAGTATTGCAGTATCCATGAAATTTGAATATTCTTGATTTATTACTTGGCGGAATCATAGCTCCTCGTTATAAAATAATCTCGAATCAGAACGAAATTACTGTTAGTTTCTTCTCGATTTTCCTTTTTAATTGAACTCTGTTCACCAACAGTAATTGTCAATAAGAGTTTTATAAATTAACCATATTATGAAATCATTTTCTGATAAATATTAAGCGATCATTTGAATCAAGAACTGATGTTAGTCAAACAGCTATTGAAAGAGAGGACATCTGTTCCATTCAAATAAGGAACTTTTCAGGGATGTTCATCCCTGACCTCACGTGGGATCGAACCCAAAACCATAGACATTCTAGGCAAACCTTTAGATCACTGAGGTGGTATCGACCGGACTACATGTCTCATTTCAGCTATCTTCCGATATCATTAATGGGTGACTGATTCACACTGATATAACTGAACACTTAATTTCATCTTTTTATTAGAACTTCAGGAATTATCTCTTGAAATAAGTTATTAATGAACACAAAACAACTCAGTCAGTCAGTCAGCTACAACGTCTGACTAGGCATATATATGTATAGGTCCAAGTTGCCTCATTAGCACAACAAGATGGACACCAGATTCATAGAAACAGTCACTTCAATCATAGTAATGTATAAAAGAAAGATTGCACATAAGGATATAGTACATGAAGGAAGAATTAGTTCGTAGAAAGAAAGATATGAAGCGATTTTAATCTCATAGTTTAAGGGAAGACAAATAATGTATACACGGACGCCATTGAGATCAATTCTCATACATGTCACCCAGAGTCTCCAACCATTGGTTACTATAGTCACGCGGACCCCAACCAAGTAGTCTGCATCTACCAACATGGCTAAGACTAGAAGTTACTGACTTCAAGCACGAAACAAGTATTAATATCGGGTGGTGGGATGTATCACTTGTTAAATTTTATTGATTATAATTTTCTGCTTTTTAATGGTTATCTAAAGATGATCAATTTACGGTGCAAACTATAGAATTCACTAACCTCAAAAATAGTTTTACACAAATCTGTATTTATGGTTATTCAATATAGTCTTTCATATCTATATATAACGTATTTATCCTTCCGTGATAGATTTGTTTTCCTTACTTCCACATACATTGAACATTGGTCTTCTGAATTTTTCGTTTAATTAAAAATCATATGTTCTTATGAACTGCCTATTTAATTTCTATGCTTCAAATATGTTTGGTTTTTGTTGTTGTTGGTGGTGGTGGTGTTACATCTTATTGCTGTTGTTGCTTGGTTGGTTGGTTGGTTGAAAAATTAATTAATTTTTGATAACAATAATTTACTTAATGAACCCGATATTTTAAGTAGTTATTTTGTGTTTATTTGATAATTTGACCGGGAGATATAGTGAAATCAATGGAATTGCTTTGATCACGCATACTATATATATATATATATATATATATATATATATATATATATGTTTTGTTATTCTTATTCTAAATGTCTTGTTTAAATATAACAGATATATTGTTACTTTTTATGTATGATCTTTGTAAGCAATGAAATGTTGATAAGATTAAAGTTTCTTTAGTCTTTTGCTCTTTGAAGTAATTGATATTTTTTGTTGATATTCAGTTATCAGTTTAATGACCTTTTATTGGTTGAGATCATGAACCGATTGATGTTAGACCACTATTGAAAACCTGGAAGCACTGGATGGCCGTTTCGTCCTATTGTGAGACTTCTCAACAGTGCTCATCCAAGATCTTCACAACCTTATACTGATAATGAACTTTTGACAGAAATTCTATTTTACTCCATAGCTTAGAAGCATGAAGTTTAAAAGTAGAGAATATATTTACAATTTACTAGTATTTAACTTTAGGCGTCTTCGAAACATCAGCTGTATATGATAAGAAACTGTTAAGTGTGTAATCGTGAAGTTAAACTCAAATTAGTAAGTAAAAATATGACAAATCGATTGATGAGGTAATGAATCTTGGTTCATTCAGATGGTTGAAACATGCATTACAACGTATGCTCAAACGCTACCTAACAAGTTGTGTAATCGTTGTAACGGTGGCGTACTTGAACATTTAGTCTACTTGTTCCTATCATCTAGATATTTTAACAACTTATCTAATTTTGGTTGGTTTAATATATCATTATGACTACTAATCGCATAACCTATTCAGGCACATTTATGACCTTTCACTGTAAAAGTTAAGAAAAACTACAATCAGAGATATTGTGATGGCTGGCAATATGCAGCGGAAAGAATGAACATTATTTGGATGTCGATTTACTGAACTGCTAACATTTAACTGACGATCACTCAATATTTATCGTCAGGATCGGCCAAGAAGTAAGAAAAGGAAACTTGCTGAAATAATTTGTGTTGCGAATTCTATATTGTACCAAAAGTATTGAATAAAGTTAATAATAATAATAATAATAATAATAATAATAATATTGTCTTTAGTGTATATTAGAAGAAAGCTATGGGTGGTTAAATCAACATTCGGCATCATTTCATGAAGTCAGTGATTGTTTGTCTATGCCTTGTTGTTAACTGTTCACTTATTTGGTTGGAAGCATTGTGATTATCATGACCGATGGATCGTCGGAAAAAAGTTAGGGACAGCCAAATCAAAACGTTGCATCAGTTCTCGAAGTCAGTAACTTCTAGTCTTAGCCATGTTGGTAGATGCAGACTACTTGGTTGGGGTCCGCGTGACTATAGTAACCAATGGTTGGAGACTCTGGGTGACATGTATGAGAATTGATCTCAATGGCGTCCGTGTATACATTATTTGTCTTCCCTTAAACTATGAGATTAAAATCGCTTCATATCTTTCTTTCTACGAACTAATTCTTCCTTCATGTACTATATCCTTATGTGCAATCTTTCTTTTATACATTACTATGATTGAAGTGACTGTTTCTATGAATCTGGTGTCCATCTTGTTGTGCTAATGAGGCAACTTGGACCTATACATATATATGCCTAGTCACAATTGATTGATCACTAGGTGATGACCATTGTCTTGCTTATCTATTCCTTATTATTAGTGCAGATCGAATGCTATCGACCATGTTGTAATGTGTCCACCAGTCTAGATGACTCAGTCCTACAAGTGGTAGGTCACGGTCCGGATAGCTCGGTGGTAAAGTCTCGGACTGTGGAGCTGGGTGACACGGGATCGAATCCGCCAGGGAGCACCAGTTCCCTCAAAGATTACAGGTACACCTTGCTGACGAGTGCCAAGTAGCACGAAACCCGTTTCCAGGGTTTCCTGTCGACTACCTCCAACCACCATCTAATATATGCCTAGTCCTACGTTGTAGCTGACTGACTGAATGGATTAAAGGATTTAAGTGATACAATTCAAAATTTAGACACAATGTTTGTTACTTTTTATCTTGTTAAATTTAGATCAACATATTAATTTAATATAACAATTTATTCTACACACATTTATGATAAGGTGTTATACTGTTTACATTAGTTTGAAATTTCTTAAAATATCATCGTTTAATTTAATTACTAAATGTTGCTGTTATATCCCTATAAGAATAATGAATGGTAACTGTTAGAATCTATTTCTCGGCGATTACTATACGTATATTTTTGTCGCATAATTGTTAAGTAACTAATGTATTCATAATCATGTTCTTATCATAAGCTTTGTTTTGACCTATGAACTATTGTTATACGATTTACCACTCTTAAATTTTCACCCCGTCTATTAATTACTATCAGTCAGTCAGCTGCAACGTAGGACCAGGCACGTATATGCATCGGTCCAAGTTGCCATACCGCATTAGCACAACAAGATGAACACCGGATTCATAGAAGTAGTTAATTCAGTGGTGGTGATATATAGAAGAAAGATTGTGTATAAGGAGATAGTACAGGAAGATAGAATTAGTTCATAGAAAGATATGAAGCTATTTTAATCTCTTCATTTAAGGAAGACAGAGAGTGTATACACCTACGCCATTGTGATCGATTCTGAGCCATGTCAGCCAGAGTCTCAAACCATTGGTTACGATAGTCACGCGGACTCCAACCAAATAATCTGCACCTACCAACATGGCCCAAACCAGAAATTAGTGACTTCAAGCACTGATACCACGTTTTGGTTTGACCACCCCTAACTTTCTTCCAATTATCCCCTACACTAATCAGCAGTGCGCGTCGTGGTAATCTGTGTTCAGGCATACGCAGAACGTGGCCTAACCATCTCAGTCGATGAAGATTCTTAACCTCATCAACTGATTTACCATCATTCCCTAGTACCCTGTGTCTAACCTCACTATTA